TGCATGGATCACATTTTTATGGCTCATTTGCTTGTTAGTATTTAATTTGCCATGTGTTTGAGCTTATCTGAGTTTTTTATACCCAATCTGTGGGTATAACACCCTTCTTCAGTGGTAATTGAACTGCTCAAGATACAGTCCTATGAATTATATCTCTTATTTCCTTATGAACCATTAAGTATAGGAATAAAACATCAGACCCCCATGATTCACCAGTTTTATGCCATCCTAGTCCCTGTAATACCTGGGTGTCACTTATGCTTAAAGTTATTGTGTTAAGTGTTGACAGAGCTCCTTCTATAACTCGAGAGGTGATATTGACACTTGAAACCAAGTTACTGTATGTTCAGGAGTGATTTTAGAAAGCAATGTATAACATTGTTTCACCTGACCCCGGAGCCACTAATCAGTTGGTAAATAAATGTGTTAGTTAGGTTTTGTCACACCTTTTATGATATGCACTTATGATATGTCTCTTTAGAGTTAGTCCTTACACTGAAACAAAACTGTTTACTTTGTCTTGTTTGGTGTCTAGCGATCATCCAAACATCTAATCACAAGATTTTATTGAACCCAACTTTCCGCCGGAATAAGGTTTAGCGGTTTTCCCTACTCACTACAATAACTCATTACATTAATGCGTTTTGATATAGCACTTATGCTGTAACCTTGTGCAGTACTTTTAATGACATTATGAGCCTTTTCCTGTTAAACAGCTAATCATATGAATAGTGCTTCAAAGGGCCTTTAAAGAAAAATTAACAATAAATATGTGAGCATTTTTTTCAGATTAAGATTAAGTTCCTTCAATACAACTGTTTTATTCAATCAAAACAGATTTATATAAATAATATATGTGTACTTGGAAAATAAATGTTAAGATTTAAAGATATTTTGTCTTAGATGCATTTATGTAAAGTACTACTGAAGTTTTACTGCTGTTTAAATACAGGCTCCACTTCTGCATGTCATTAGCCACTCTTATACACTGAAAATCTCAAAGGTCAAGGTCTTAAATTCCATAACAAGTTCTAACATGCAATTAGATCTATACTTAAGACAACAAATTTATTTGAGGTATACTATGGAATGGCAACACTTAGTCTGGTAATTTGATTTTTTCATGGAATTCAGCTGGTTATATGTATTTCACTCACATGCTTTTTAAATTATTAAAGCCTTACAATTATATTGGAACAGTTCAGAAGTGAAACTATTTGATTCCTAATGGTTAATTATGCAAAGTTAACTAAACATGTTTGACTATAATACTTACATTCATCAATTGCTTCTTTAAAATGAAGTGCCAAAACGCATCACTACACACATGTGTGCTTGTGAATTTGAATGTGCAAAAGCAATGTGCGCACACTTTAAAGGCAGAAAGGTCTACTAGTTTTAATCACACTGTAGCATGGCTATGGCTTGGTGAAAAACACAGGGATAAAACTCCCAAAATGCTAGATGAATTCACTGAACACTGGATTTACAAAACACTGACCTGTGATATAATACGCATATCGGCTATTTGTATCAGCTGCCAGTTGCAGATGCACTACAAGATGGTGTTAAATGGAACTGGCTTTATATTATGGTGACATACTGTATATGGCTGTTCATAGCAGCATGGTGGCTAGCCCTATTGCCTGATAAGTTCCAGGATAATGAAATCAGGATCGTGACTTCATTTCCAGACTGGGCTCCTTTTGTGTGGAGATTTTTAATGTTCTTCCTGCGTTCTCGTGGAGTTTCTTTAGATGCTCTGGTTTCCTCCAGTCTTCCAAAGACTTAAAAGTTAGGTTTGACAGGCTGCTCTAAATTGTTACTTTCCTTGTGGGTTTCAAGATAATTTCATACTTGGGGAAGTGTATTCTCAGCACAACTAGTACTTTTTACCAGACTGTAGTAAAAGGGCACTGAGAAATGGAAGCACATTTCTACACAAAGAGTTGTGGGAGTATGGAACAAGCTACCCAGCCATGTCATTGAAGCAGATATTCTGACTTTCTTCAAGAAGTCACTGCATAAGATCTTCAGATCACTTAGTTTCTAATAACCAAATGGGCTAGATGAACTAAATGTGCTCTTCTCATTTGTAAGCTTTCTTATGTTCTTGATCACAATAGTATTAAATCAGTCAAAGTGCTGTCTCTTATCTGTAACCTGTATCTGATGTTCTTGGTGATATTTCCAGCTAATCAATTCTTATCAAATTTAACAACATTTAAATTGTTAATTGTAAACAGTTAAACATATACAGTAGGCTTTAGACTGCTGCTTTATTTTCTGACAAACCAGTAAGGCTAACTTGAATTACGATATATGATTTTGTTCATTCGGATACCATACATCACATTTGCACTAGAGATCTTGGATAATAATATGTTTATCTGTTATACTGTTATGGAAAATGGAAGAGTTTGAGTTTATCCACCTATAGATTCACATATTTGCTATCTCAAGTTCCTGAATTCCTTACAATTATGGGTTTTCTGAAAAGGTTTTACTCTTATACTAAAAAATAAAATTACATGGTGAAAATATGATTTTGTTATTAATTGAAACATTGTTTTTTTACTTTATATCCCTTTATGATATTTTGTGTAAATCATAATACTATTTGACATACTTATGATCAAAAGCCAAGCTTTTACTCATGAATATATATAAACCTTTGGCATTCAATGCATTTATTGTTCCAGTGTATCAAGAATTTATGTGTTTTTCTAGACATTGGAGTTTCTGGTTCACAGAATGGCAGAAAACATCACATTATGAATGTATGAACAAATATCTTTGCATATCTAATCCATGATGTTTCTTCTTTCTGAACATATGATTTAACACTCCAACAACAGACCTGTTCAGATATTAATGACTTAATTTAAGTGCTATTAGAACCAATACTATGCCTGTGAATGCTCTGATATAACTACATTTTGGGAAGAATGAATAAAATGCAAAGAGGCAGTTAGTCTGATCTGTTCAGATCAATATCCAAGATTTTGGAACACATCTAAGGTACCATCATACTTAGCAAGACTAAATTTACTGAGTCACAATCATGCCTTATCGAAGTATTAATCTAATATATGATATTAATGACCTGTTTTCTAAAACATGTACTGGCAAATAAAAGGCTTGTAATCTGAAGGCGTCTTGTTCCAGCACTAGACAATACATCACAGATTATATGAAGAAAGACCATATAATACAGGTGTCATAGTCCAGACTTGTCTCCATGATCTGCATTACTTCACCTTTTCAGCTAAGAGAATCAGAATAAATATTGCTATTTTTTGTTTTTTGTCCATTATATGTCTGATGCATCAATAAGGTTTTATAGGAGATTAGAATAATATGTGCCCTGCTCTTGTTACACACTATGATTAATTTTATTAACCTTTATTCCATTTAGATTCCCAACGAGAACCAACCTGCACACAGAAAGACTGGTATGATACACACCCAGTATCCTATTGCACATTCTTATATTATTATGCAATACTACAAAAACATTCACTTGGGTATTTATAAAATCTCTACTTTATATGGCTTCGTAACTAAAATGACCTTCCCTTTCCATAAATTAATCAGCAATCTATATGAAGGAGACAGGCACTGAACTGGTGACCCTTTTGTCTGCCAGCTACTACTCTACAGAACTGCTCCAGGAGAACAACTGAAGCTGAGCCAGACTGAAGTACTACACAGCTCCACACACGACCACTGAAAATAGCACCGGCCAATGAATCTTTCATACACGGAGATTTTCGGAAAGTGCCATTTCCCCTCCATTGATGCAACCACTGGTTTCACTTGTTCGTCTATATTTTTTTTTAATCCATGTCTGGTCCCAAACACTGTCCATTTTTTGTAACAAATTACACAGAAGTGGATATCAAATTTTAACAACTGACCCAGCTAGTTACCGCTGCAGAGAACTTTTATCTTTACGTCGACGCACCTACACTTACGCATAGCAACTTTAACCCGTAATCTACTGTGAAAAGAAATATTTCTACTAGTCATAATCCCGTATAAATATTAATATGCAACATTAACAAAAACAGTCATTAGGACGACTGATAATTAACTTGTTTGCCGAATTCAATAGCCTATAAAGCAACAACGTTCAAAAAAAGGTTTTATAGGAGATACTCGCATTTCATGGGAGAATCTTTGGCGACAGATATATAGCACGCTTTAAATGTGCACTTTATCACTGTAGTAAAATCGTGTTAAACTGCACTGTACATGGCACAACAAGACGTGTTAAAGTCAGAGAAGAGTCGGAAGACACCCCCTAAAACAAGTGCACGCAAATCTGAATGGCAACATTCTAATGATGACAGCAAACAGCACGTGGCTTCGAGCGCCACTCGTTTACTGAAGCTTTCAGCACGTTCGTTCCAGTTCTACATAAGACACGTTTCGCAGTTCAAGTGTACATACATACTTCGTGAAAGAAAGGAATTCAACACGTTTAAATAGTTGCCGTTTACAAACGTGGCGCCAACCAGCTAAGCTCTAACGATAACATGTACAAAGTAGAGTTTATCTAGTAAATGTGAGAATTTGTCTTTCACAACCAGTATTTTCTCGGTCAGTTTGTGTATGAATGAAAAATACTGTGTTTTGTGGGCGATATATTTTGCTTCACATAGTACTTACAGAGTAAACCGATATTATTTTCTGTCAATTTAATCGAGGGTATTAGGATTAAAAACGTTTTCAAGCCACTGAGAGTCAAATAATCAACACTTTGGGACAATGGTCAGTTGTTTTCGTTCAAACTGTGTTAACTTCTTTTGTTTAATAGTTGAATGGGTGGGAAATGCTTCGCTTTTTATGTAATCGACTAATATTTGCATTAAAATGAATAGTTTATATAGGCACAATTAAATAGATGCAAAATTAGAGGATATTCGCATCTATAAATCAAATCTCTTGAAATAGCAATACTGTAGTTTGTGTAGATAAGGTGAAACATCACTTACCAGCTTTGCAAGGGTCCTTGTAGTCAATCGTCTCAGCTTTTTCCTCTTCATAAAAATCATAACTATAATCATACTCTAAGCAGTTGTACATTTCCAGTTTCCCACAAAAAGTCAATCCGGCAAGAAAAAGCGTGATCCAATGCATTTTAAATCACTTGCCAATTGAATGCAGATCAGGTGAACTAAGTAATGAATGAAAAAGTACCTCTTTTCACTGTAGACGTATTTTCAGAAGATGTATTTTTATTCCGAAATACTCAGCAGAGTCAGTAACGGACTGATAGAGGAATTTAGAAGGTTACTGCAAAGCCACCGTAGCTCAGGCTGTTTATTACTTGATTGATGACAGCGCAGAAGTTATAAATGTAGAGGCGATCCTTTCTCTTTAAACATTGTTTCTTTCATGTGACTTCTGGATCCAGTGGGTTTTTTTCTTCGCTAGGCGTGCAAATTCCCGGGAGCAAGCCCTATTGGGAAAGTGGAGGATCCGCAGTTGCATTAGAAAAGCTGATCTCTGAAAGTACAACAGGACGTAAATGTTTAAAACAACACACACTGAGGGCTCCGAGCTTCTAATGACAAGCAACACGGCAGGGCAGAGTGCCAGGACTAGCACTTTTTTGCTAACTTACGAAAATCCTATAGGCATCTAACAATCGTTCGCATCCTGCTTACTTATTCATACAATAAGGGTCAGGATCCGGACCGCCTCTGATCTGGTCTCTTGATAATAAAAACAGTAACTTCACACAGGTCCTGAGAAACATTAACTGCACTACAATCAGGGCATTGCTTTCTGTGTTACACGAGAAGCCGTAAACTCGAAACTGTGGGAGACCTTGGGCAGTGAGATAAATGTATACTTTAAAAATGTTCAACTGATCAACAACGTCTCCTTAAGCCACGCTTACTAAAAATAAATGTAGCTGCTCAGCTCCTTCGTGAACATTTTCTAAAAATACAAATATTGGTTTCTTCTATTGTTACATTGCACCGTTCCGTTCTTCAGCTGTCTGTTAGAAATGAAAGGAAACTGGTACCTATTGAAGTAGCGCCTTCATTTTCTTAAAAAAAAACACGTTTTAAATAATAATAAAACGTAAGAAACCTGACAATTAGCGGTGGAAAATTACCGGATGCTGAGCATCAGAGGGAAGCTTCCATCTAGGTGAGACTCAAGTAATAAACTATTTGCAACCCATCTCGTTTTACAAGTTACATGCAGGGGGAAGTGAGTGGGAGTATTCTTTGTGATGGTGTTACATTTAACAGATTAACAACTCGTTTTGTCTCAGAGTTGATCAGTCTCTGCTACATGGTGCAGTTAGCCTTTTAATCTGCTTCAAACATAAAATGGGGTTTATGGGATAGATTCCAAAAGTAATACTATTTCCAGGTTTTAATATTAAGGAATGTATCGCTGAATATTTGAGGCATCTATCTGGACAGAGTATATAAGTACCTGTACTGGCCTACTTTGGTGGCAGAAAGCAAAACAGAAGCAAATCTGTAAATGTCTGAGATTTGGTAATGCACTATGGATTAAGCTGTTTTTTTTCAGTGATTGTAACATTTTATGTCATACAATTTATGTGATTTCTATATAGCCAATTTAACACAAGCCGGTCCAAATTTGGTAAAATGTTATTCGCAAAGTTATATCTGTGATCGTTTCGGAGACCGCTCCTCGCCGAAATACGTGTCTTTAAAAAACCAAGTCCTGTTAGTCGGAGGCAGGGACAACAGCTGGGGCGGAGAGAGGTGTTTTAAAAGGGTAACATACTGAACAAACGTATAATTTTTTTTAAAAAGCGCAAGTCTGCCTTAATTGTATGTTTTCCCTTATTCTTGTCTCGACTTGATAACCACATCTTGAAAAGGACGTGGTTTCAGCAACGAAATGTTTTTTTCTCTTTTTTAACCTTTTGTCCTTTTTATAGTATAAGAGAGCGGTAGAATTTTCTATCATGCAAGTACAATGAAGGTCATGTTATATGAACTACTATGAAAAGCACCAATCGTATTTGGTAAACCAATGAATACATTAACATAACCGAATAATAATAACAACAACAATAATAATAATAACGGTGACGTAATGATGGATATTTTGGACGGGAAATTAATTTTAATATGTCTTCTTCTTGAACGTTTTTCTGCCTCCACTTTAAGACAAGTAGGTGTTAATCTGTGGAGTGTCCTGAGTTCTGTGCTCTCCCCGGATTTACCGAAAACTGCTTTCTGTTCAAAATCAGATTGTTGGAAATTGTACGAAACACCTTCAAGTCACAGGTATTTACATTTAAATAATAGTTTTCTGCATTCAGGGGAAAATAATAACTAAGCCAAACAAAAGGCTGCACTCAGGATGTCACTATAACCTTACGGGTTGCTTTATGCCATTAAATGACATAAACAAAAACCTATTCCTATAAAACATAATTCAAATTCAAAACCATTTGAAATTCTTAGTTGAATTGAACATAATTCGAAATTATAAATTAAACTGAATAAACTACAAGGTACCTAGAAGGCCACGGCCTTCTAACTAAACTGTACTTTTACTTAACGTCAAATACATCAATACAGACATATGTATATACATACCGTGGAGCTAAGGCTTTAATGTTTTATAGCTTCACTGCAAATTATCTTGAACTTTAGCGGCTGCCTTTCTTTAAGGTCTTTGCAACTATTCAACAACAACAACAATAATAATACATTTTCTAGCGGCTGCTGAGAGGAACATCTCACTCCAAACGTGCCCATTTCCCTTCTGAGATTAGTGTCTCTTCAGCAGGAGATTAATTCTTCTAGCAAGGTACGTGCTTACGTCACGCCATCAATCCATCAATCTGTCCTAACTTCATCGCCGCTAGTCGCCCGAGAAAATCCCTCACAGCAGAGCAGATAAAGCGGGCTGTGTTACCGAACGGAAGTGTATGCAAATCTCTTACGTTTATTATTCATTATTATCGATGAACTTGACTTAGTTTACAGTAGGTTGTCACCAAAAAGTAAAGCTATCCGTCAGAAAGAAGAATGTATTTGCCTTCCCGTGCTTTTTTTCCAGCGCCCACCACAATTTTCAGTTACGGAGAAAACGTCGGTAAAACGCTCACTATTACAGACACACGCTGGTTTAGCTAGTTAAACACCAGTAATTGTTTAGAGACAGAAAGGTTATCTTACGTGGGTGGAAGTGGGTGAAACTGAGGAAAGGTTTTACAAGGAAGGGAAGAAAGGGTATATTCTTTTGCACTCTCACTTTCTACTGTACCCAGGCTACCGCGTTTCGAGATGGGGCTCTCTTGGGATATCGAAAAACACTGCAAACACGAATCTGAGTCCATTTAAATAATCCTTACCCAGTAAGGTAGAGTTTTTGTTAATGCAGTGCGCTGCTAGTCTCTGTTAGCTGTTAAAATGAAATGCAGCGTGGTGATATTCCCAGAGCTCGGGTTTACACACATCGTCGAAGCAGAAAAGGCAACTTCTGATCTGTTCGCATTAAAACTTGCAATAAGGTCGTGCGTCCTGTGTGTGAACATATGAGGACAGGTATTTGGAGAAACTGTCAGCTGCTTCAAACAGAAGGGAAAGGGGAGAAAGTTGATATTCAGCTGGAAGGCGGAGATCTTTCATGGCTTTCAAAGCAGCAGAGAACAGCGCCTTTCAGTCGCAGACCCGAGTAGGATTGGTCAGCTAAGAGCTCTAGATTTCAGCTGTTGTTCCATGATCACTTATTAGTCGGTTCTGCAGCACGTAAACAATCACAAATTGTTATTAATTGAAAACAAAACTGAAAAAGAAACTAAGAAAGAGGACATCCTGGAGGCGAGGTCACTACCTATGCCTCACAGCGTCAGTGAATCGACGTCAGTTGATATTTAGACTTCGTGCGACCCCTAGCGAACAACACAGGTTAAACGGCCCAAGACCCGAGTCCAAGACCTCGGTTATTGCCAAGTTCAATCAACGGTTTGATATACCTTTCACCTCTGGTGCAAACTAATTTGTACAACAATAAATCTCGCCTTTCAGGATGATGATTATTATTATTGTAACAATTATGATTTATATGTGATTATATAAATGCACGCAAACTCACATCTTGAATTTACAGTAATAGGTTGATATTAAATTCCTAATACCAATAATTTCAAAAATAAAGAATGGATAAAATTATCCAAAATTACCAATAAGAGAGTATAGGTCAAAATCAATGTATACATGAGTTTCTTATAATCAAGCAACGGGCGCAAAGCGGTGTACGCGATTTTTCCCCCCAGAAAACACAATCTTACAAGGACTGTACATAATAGATACATTAAAATCTCTATTAAAAAGAGAAATTGACAATTACATGAAACGTCACTTTTCAATGGTTCTATTAATATCACACAACTTCTCTTATTGACGTGCATAAACATAACGAGGAGATGCTGATTTAAAGTTGTTTACAAGACATATTGTTTCTTAGAACCCTGACCTGTCACACATGGTCTCATTTTACGAGGTGCTCTAGGGGAACATTTTATTGGAAGAAGGTGCACCCCATCCTTACAGTATTGTAGTGCCACGCGGGGCGGGCTGAGAACAGCGCCTGGGGGCGGGACTACGGGACTCCATATAGCGGGACGGAGGCTGGGGGGCAGTCTCTTCCCTCCCTTTTCTGTTTTAGTGTAGGTGCAGCGCTGTTAATACCTGTCCCTGTGTGTGTACCTATTCCCTGTTCAGGTTAATACATGTGTTGGTGTTGGTTACCCCTTCTCCTGAGTCCTACGCCTGCTCCATTACGTACCGAACCCCGCGGTCGTTGCAGTATGTTTCAGTTGTCACATCTACAGCTTTTCGTTTTCTGCCTGTGTGAACTGATTGACGTCCACCCAAAGCACTATTTATACGACTAACAACAGCAGGCTGCACCTTTATCATTGTTCCTCTCCCTTTTTTGCTTTTCTAGATTTTGTGTCAAGTGCTCAGGCAGCCCCTGTAAACCCAGAAGTCTTGAGGGATGATGCCACTGCAACATCCGTGTTCAGTTTCTCGAACTGCCCAATGAGAGCTTTTACTGGTTCAGCAGTCATCTGGGTAAAAACAAATCTGTAGATGGGACACCAGTCCACCACAGGGCAAACAAACACACACACTTTCACACCTCAAAACCGATTTTCTCGCAGGACAATTAACCTACCAGTATGTCTTTTTCACTGTAGGAAGAAACCAGATCACCTGTAAGAAACCCACATAAACACAAAGAGAACATACAAACTCCACCCAGACAGTATCCCAGGTTCAGAATTGATCGCAGAGCCCCAGTGTCATTAGGCAGGAATGGTAACCACTGCACCACCATGACACCCAAATGTTGAGTTTCCATTCTTAAACTAAATCAAAACGCTATGATAACGATTATTCATCCCTTTACAATTATTTAAGTTTTTAATTAAGATTGTCTATCTTTTTTCACCACGTATTGAGGAAACAACATCTAAATGCAGGAGACATACCTGGAGGCCAAGAATTATTTTACAAACAGCAATAACATTTCGGTTTGATTGAGGTCAGAAGATTATTGTCCATCCAGCACTTTGATTCCCTTCCCTTTTCGATATTTTTGGTTGGCTTGTGGTTTTGTTCACAGTCTTGCCGAAGGGTGAAGCTACAGCCAACGAACTGCTTTTACTGTATTTCACTTCAGTGACTTTTATGTCTTGGTATTTTGCCGTATGTAGGTTTCCTTCAGTTATACAAAGGTCCACAGTCCCTGAGGGGGTAAAAGCGGGTCACAGAATAATGGAACACCCACATCTTGCACTGTAAACACTACCAACTTGTCTTTGTATGCATTTGCTTTCCATTAGACCCACGGTCCCTCCTTTGAAAACATTTCAATGTTTTAATCATCAGACCACAAAGTGTTGCCAAATGAATTATCAGGCTTGTGTTTATATTTCCGTAAACTATAAGCACTAGGTCTTGTGTGGTTTCACCAGAAGAGACTTCACATCATGTTCATAGTCTGGTCTTTCAGAAATTGTTGTTGTATTGTGCTCTTGTAAACTGACATTCCAAGGTCTCTTTAATCATTGTGTACGTTCATGTTTATATCTTAATTCTTCTGGGCAATTTGTTTTCCTGCTTCAGGGCATATAAAGTGATGCGCATAACAGAATGCAACACTCAGGTCTAATGGATTTCATCAAATATTTTAAACCATTTTTGGAACAAATCACACAACATTAGAAACAATACAGTTTTGGGTTTTTCGTTATGAAATGTGGATGTCACATGGTCTGTCTCAGCAAACCTCTTCAGTAGAGCCTGGAAGCTAGTAGACCAACTGCGATAAACATTCTGAGCCTGCTGTGAACACAAAAAGGTGTTTTAATTTTACCACACAGGATTATCTGGAGTTCCAGAAAGGCCAAATGTCAATGGAAAGATCATGAATATTGAAATCCAGCACGAAACAAAATCACTGAGACAGCAAGTTATAAATAAACAATGTGGACAGCGTTCAATACGGAGTGAGCAGTACAGATACCGCGCATCTCTATCACAAAACCGGTCACTTTGATCTTGAGTCAGCCTTATATGGCAGAAACCCCTCCCACCTTTTTCAAAAACATGAAGTCCAGTGTGGCCAGGCGGACGGTAACTTCCACTTACGCTCATTAGGGGGCGCACATATTTTCTAAATATTCGCTGAAAAAATTTCGAGGTGCACACTTCAGTACGTGAATAGCTCAGGCAGGGATTCTAACCCTACACAACCGGTTGCTGTTTTCCATGGGGTTTAAAAAGGGAGAGTGGCAGAGCTTAGGAGAGTGAGTTGGAAGACTCCAGCAATGTGAGAGTACTGCCTAAAAGAAAAAAAAAACATATATATAAAGTAGAAAACGAAGGAAACCAAAAAAAAGAAAGGAGATTTATAGGAACTAAGAAGCAAACACCCATCCTAGAAAATAAGGAAGAATCGCCCTTCACTAGAATAGGACGTGGAAAGAGAGTTTGATTTAAACAAAATCTACTTATATACAGTATAATACCACTTCATCAAATGTTTACCAATATGTATACATCTGTTCATTTTTGTTAAATTGTTATAATTTTTAAAGCCTCAGTCGGGATGTGTATTATAAATTTGTTTTATGGAGACAGAATGTAGGGTTCATGGGCAGAAGAGCTACTGTTGTAGCCTCTAGATGGCTATATGCTCAAGAGCCAGTTTTCCCAGAAGCCAAGTCCCCATTGTTCCCAGATGTTCTCAGATTATCTCAGTGGTCCCAAATGTTCTCAAATATTTCCAAATGCTCTCAAATATGCTTAATTGTTAAGAGATATTTTCAAATGTTCACAGTATTCTAAAATATTCCCAAATGCCTAGTATTCCCCACTGTTTTCAATTGTTCCCAGTGTTCTCAAATGTTCTTTGATATTCTTTGCTTAGAACAAATTGAGAACATTTGGCAACATTTGGGAACATTGAGAACATCTGAGATCATTTGAGACCACTGAGATGATGTGAGAACATTAGAGAATGATTGGGAACACTTTTGAACATTTTGAAATATTTGAGAACATTTGGAAACATTTAGGAACAGTGGGGGGATTTGGGGAACATTTGAGAACGTTTGGGAACATTTGGGAATATTTGAGGTTCATTGGAGAGTGTTTGGGAAAAGTTGTGAAAAATTGGGGACAATTTGAGATAATTTGGGAACAATGGGAACATTAAAAATATTTCAGAACATCTGTGAATCTTTTCAAACATTAAGGAACAGTGGGGACATTTGAGAACATTCAAGCATGTTTGGGAATATTTTATATCGTTTGGGAATGATGGGAACATTGTGAACATTAAAAATATTTTAGAACATTTGGGAACATTTTCAAACGTTTGAGAACATTCAGGAATGTTTGGGAACATTTGGATCATATGGGTTCCCCTTGTCGAAGGGGAACTAGGTGACTGCCTAGGGCCCCAAGGCCACCAGGGGGCCCCCTCAACCTGCAACACAACGTGTTTTTAATTGACACATTCAAATATGAGTCATAAATTCTCTCCAGTGGCCCTTTCTGTTGCTGCAATACTGATATAGGCTGTTAATGTTTGTTAGTTCTAAAATATAATGTTATTAGTTGTGAATGAAAGTGTAATGGTTTATTTCACTGCCAACGTCATAAATGACTCATCTTCACCATGAGATGACAATATAAGAGCGGTTTCAGCTGCTGCTGCACTGAATGCTGTTCATTTTATTTCAGAAAGTAGTAAATGTTGTAATGATTAATTTTATTAATCTTTCATTACATCTAACGTGTAATGAACCATTACATGTGACTTTTTCCTTGTGTTGCAAACTAGGTTGTAATGGTTTAAACGTTAAAACCATATACAGTAATATGTTTATGTTCCTAAATTGACATCGTTTATCACCATTAGACGCATAATGCCCCTCTTCTTTTTGCTCAGCTACTAAAATGTCCCTTCAGTTGTAAAATTCCATATAAATATTCAATAATAGGCTAATTAAAATGTGCGCAGTAAAGAGATTACATTATCTTTTCACTAATGACCAATGCACCACGAGTGCCCCTGTCGGTCATTTTGGCCATCCAATCACGTACTGCGGTTCGCCACCATGGCTTGTGGGTAGCTGCGTGCAGTACGTGTTTGTACCGTGCAGTTTGAATGGCTGCATCTGTAGTTGCAACTGGTAAACACGCATTTTTACCTCCAAAAGGACATACCTATCAGGGTATAGAGAAAATAACAAGCAGAAAAGAAGAGCAGCATATCCAAAGGTTTGCCAAATCAAGTCACTGTAATAATGCCGTTGTTTTTATTTGGTTTTGAGTCTGTCAGATCCATGTGAACGGTAGACAAACCACGTTTTCTAGCTTTACATGTAGATTACTTGAGATGTTTTGATGTGAAGTTATTAGATTTATGTTTCATGTTATTACTTTCAATGTTAAAAGCTATATATCAACCTGTAACTCACACCTGGCAGCCCACTGACGCTCAGCAGGTGTGAGCCTGGTCAGTATCTGGATGGGAGACCTCCTGGGGAAAAACTAAGGCTGCTGCTGGAAGAGGTGTTAGTGGGGCCAGCAGGGGGCGCTCACCCTGCAGTCTGTGTAGGTCCTAATGCCCCAGTATAGTGATGGGGACACAATACTGTAAAAAGGCACCGTCCCTTGGGTGAGATGTAAAACCGAGGTCCTGACTCTCTGGGGCCATTAAAAATCCCAGGGCGTTTCTCGAAAAGAGTAGGGACGTTACCCTGGTGTCCTGGCCAAATTTCCCATTGGCCCTTGCCAATAATGGCCTCCTAATAATCCCCATCTATGAACTGGCTTCATTACTCTGTTCTCCTCCCCACTGAGAGCTGGTGTGTGGTGAGGTACTGGTGCACTATGGCTGCTGTCACATCATCCATTATCCCCATTACCTGTGAAGCACTTTGAGAGGAGTGTCCGGAAAAGCGCTATATAAGTGTGAATGTAATGAATATACCTTATCGTATAACAGGGATCTCAGCTGCCTGGGCTGGGGGAGTTCTCCTTTAGCTCATCTAGCAAGTTCCATGCTGCGTGACGCCGGAGACCTGGGTTTGTGCCCAGGCAGTGAGGGATGAACTGGCAGGGCAGGAGCAGCAAAGGCAGAAACCCAAAGAACCATTATATAAGCAATTGTTATTAATTAATCATTATTATTATGTTAGCATTGTAAAATCTGTGCTTCTTGTTCTTGTTTGTAAGTTATTTATTATGTTCTCTTCAAAGCTGGAAAAATAAAAGTGTACTAATTATATAATTCATTTATTGAATTGGCCTAGATAGTAAAATAAGTTTGGGGTGGGAGCTGATAATAAAGGTGTATGCACAAACTGTGATCTGGAAGAGCCCCTTTCCAAGATCTTGCCAAGGGCCCTGAAAAAGCTAGGGCCGGCCCTGATATGAGTTCTGTGCAGTAACAGGAACTGCTGTTTTATAGGATTATATTTGTGAGATGGGAAGATTGACGTACCCTAATAAAATGGGAATTGTGTAGGACGACTGTCTTGTCCAGTTTATGTGTGCATCGGTGGACCTAGAAGACAAAGAGAGCGTGTTGCCAGGGGAAAGGGATCTTAGCACATTTTAAAATCGCTACGTGGTGTAGCCGTCTACAAAGCAAAAGTACCTGTATTGAAAGGGTCACGATCCGCGACGCAGGATTTCACAGGAAAGAACGCTGGAGCTCAGAAATGTGTTCAGAAAGGCGTGAGCGCTCCGCTGCTTGAAAGCAAGAGAACGTTTGAGCAATGCTAGGGTCCCTTCTTAGTCGTTACATTGAGTTGGTGTTAGTTTTCACGGCAACTGACATCAGTGATCATACGGACAAGGGCATCTTTTTGGAAGCAAGCATCTGGCGCAACGCTCTTATTGTGATCAACGATTCCACTGCCTGTCTTGACTGTATGTGTATCCTCCAACCTCGACACTAACTTTCCCCTTAACCCTTAAAATTCACTAAGTTATATCATCCCGATTTCTCCTCTGATGCTAAATCTCAGAAGTAAGTAGATGTACACTCGATGCAAGACGTTTGTATAGCGGGATAATGCCGCGAAGCTTCCAAAAGAAGAGAAGGGAAACCTCTGCACAGGACTGCACCTTTAAGAAAAAAAGTCTCTCTTGTCTCAGCTGTAGTTTCGACCCGCCCATGGCCTGAAGTGGACGGACAACTCTTTTTAACTGAGTCGGGTGAAAAAAAAACTCGAATCTCTCTCGTCTTGCAGGGCAGAGCTAATTGTTATATTTAGAGTCCCGCTCTGTAGTGAAACAAAAAGATTAGCATACAAAAATATTTTAGGGTTTTTATTGTGAACAAAACACACACTGGTGAACTCCGAGTTGTTGCACCTGTGAGAAGGTGAGTCGTGTCTATCACTTCCGTAATTCGTGTGGGTGGGATGCAGCCCGAGTTTGTTCTCATGGCAAGAGTGAATTAGCTTGTAGCGTGGAGCCTTTTTTTGTTTGTTTGCTTGCTTACAACAGACCAAACGCAAAAATATAATGACAGCCAATTCATGTAAGATCGCGTGTGAGTGTTTTGGAAAATGATGCTTTATTAGCGGGTTGTAAATATGCCTTATACTGTATTTGTGCTGTCATAGAGAAAAGACAAAGACCACACATGTGAAACAAAACCTCACTGTCTTTGCTAAGAGAACGACGTACATTTAATTGGGAACTTCACCCCTTCACATTCAAGCTGGTATTTTCACGAATTTAACTAGTTAGCAGCAGGGTGAAGTCTGTTCCTAGGGAGATCCCACTGGTTTACACGCCTCTTTTGAAAAGTGCAATTAGAAGTCACACTTTAACGCGTGTTTTTCTCGTTCCATTATATCAGATTGTTTTACGAGAGTTCATTCATTTATTCAGAAGTATATATTCATACAAATATCCTGGAGCTTTTAACATACCGAACTCCCAAATTTCAGTTTGGAGTATTTATGGGGTTTTTTTGCCGGCTGTTCCGATTTCCTCCTTCCTTACAAACACATGCTGGCTAATTGGTGTCTCTTAATTGTTCCCGTGTGTGAATGGGTGCCCCGTGATGGACTGGCGGTCAGTCCAGGGTGCAGTCCTTCCTGGTGCCCTGTGCTTCCCAGGTAGACTCTAACTACCAAGAGTAGGAGGCTATATACTGTCTACTAATGGTTGTATATATGTTATTGTAGTATCAATGATAGTAATTTTAGAATTGGTAAGCTCTTTCCTAAAAACAGATACTAACGACATTATTACAGTTATTAAATTTGCTGCTGTCCCATCTGTGCATTTGTATCGGTGCTTATAAGCTTTGAATTCAGTTAAAACCCTAAGTGCCTTGCGTCTGTTTATGTTCTTAATAAGTAACTGTAAATAGGTCTCACTATAACAAAAGCCTGACATGTTAGGTGCTGTAACTGACATGGTTAGCATAAATAAACCATATTTTGTGTTCATCTCTCATAAGTCCTTTTTAAGGGTGTCACGTCATGGTATAATTAGATATTTTTGTCGGGCTGCAGTGTGGTTTTATAATTGAATGTGGTAGGGCAGCATTCTTTGCTAGCCACATAGTTTTGGGTTGATGGTCAATAGGCAAATGAAGATTGCTAGTGTGAAGGAGAGTGCATCCCTAACACTACCATTTTTTCACTTTCACAAAGCCATCCAGGTGTTTACAGTGGTATTTGTAGGTGCACACATACCAGTGCATTGTAGAGCGGAAACGACGATGTTAAATATTTGGAGTTTTGCTTTTTCATTCAAAGAAGACAAAATGAAAACTGAAGTAGAAAGCCTTCTCACATTTAGTCCTAATACCTTTCTACAACATGTGATTTTATTACAACAGAAACTGAAACATGCATCAGGTTAGAAACCTGTATTACTAAAAATACCCGCTGAACTGCAGATTGCAAATAAGAACTTAGTCGGTAAAACTACAATGTAAAAAAGTTCTCTTACAAATATATTGCAAATTAACCAGCATGGGCGACACGGTGGCTCAGTGGTTATCATTGCTGCCTCGAAATGCTGAGGCCTCGGTTTATATCTGCATGGAGCTTGCATGTTCCCCCTGTTCACATGAGTTTCCTCTGGAAGTTTGAGTTTCCGCTTACAGTCCAAAAATACTAGTATATAGGTTGGTACAACAAGGTAACAGGGCCTAAATAATTATTGAGTGAAGCAGTTGGTCCTGTCTGTCTTGGGCCAAGGTGATATCATACATTTTTAGGTATGGCAGTGGACAGTCTCTTTTGGTCCCCAATGTACTGTTTGGGCCCCAAGAAAAATACAAAACTGGTTTGTTGAGTATGAGAATAGAGTAACTGTTCTATTCTGATAATAAATAACCAACTAGTAAACTATCAGTTTTGTACATGCCAAATTTTCTATTTTGTTGTGATAGAAGCATAATAGGTTTTTGCTTTATTCCTGTGCTGGAGAGCTCACAGCTTAGTGCCAGGACTGTCATTGTGCAAAGTGCCAGTCTGCAACGTGCAGAATCTTTCAGCCTCCTCGCGTTTGTTCTTGGACTGCTTCTTCACAATTTGCATTGAGCATTTGAATGGAGCTCTGTGCTCATTTGACTGCAGTATTCTTCAGGGTTTGCATTCAGGAGGGTCAGAAAAAAACAACAGACCAGACTAGCCTATACAGTTACTTTCTCCTGAAATTAAAAGTGGACAAAGATAGCAGGTGGTGACTTTGTGTTCGTGTGACTCTTCATTGTTTGCTTGGCTCTGGAAATGGTACCTTTTTCTCCGATCCCACTCCTTTCCCTTTTTCTCTGCTGGTAATTTTCCTGTTGAGTTCACTCTGACACTGTTTTCCAATCCTAATCCTGAAGAGAGAACCCTTAGACCTTTGGTATCCTAGTTCTCAAGATCCATTTGAGTCAAGATAAAGAAATATAGGCCTCTGTTAGAAAAAGCTAATAGCATTGGTAATCAGTGGTCATTTGTAATACCAGCTGTATGTACAAAACCCCAGTACTCATGTTACAGTTCCTACTACTCTTTGGTCTATCAAGATCACTGCTAAAAACTAAGGGGATACTGCTCCTTTGAGGAGGCCAGTGAAGATAAAGGCATTGATCAGTCAGTGATAGCCACATTGCTTGGTTCCATATTAGGATGAGCTAAATTATGGTGTTTCCCCTGATCCTCCTTATACAGCACTACCTTGAGTGTGTTTGAACAGCTCCAGAGGAAATGTTGTGTGTTTGTCTGATAGTGTGGGTTCTTTTATTGTTTTAGTTAATGTATTACTACTAAACTCTCTTTCGAAATTGCACACAAGCCTCATTTGTGCATTTCCAAGAAGAATATAGAAACTGTATGCAAATGAGAAAGCTTTAAAGTGCCAGGTTAAAAAAGAAAGTTCTCCTTAATATGACTTCAGTTCCTGCTAAATAATGTCAAGCATTCATTTTTTTTTTCAGTAAGGTCACCTTTGGAAGTTTTGTGGTTTTTAAAGGACGTGTGACATTGTCGGATGGAAAGGTTTCAGAATTCTGTAGCCTGAAGCACATGAGAAAAATGAAAATTCATTTCATCAGAAGAGAGGCCCATCTGTGTTTTGAAAAAAGGAGTGTCACTGGTAGGATTGGGTTCACTGGGATTAGGGATTAGGGAAAGGTTTTTTCAGGGTTAAGATTAAGGGGTGGGCTGTAGACCAGTAGTATGAGCCTGGTCGGTACCTGGATGGGAGACCTCCTGGGAAAGCAAAGGTTTCTGCTGGAAGAGGTGTTTGTGGGGCCAGTAGGGGGTTCTCTTTCTGTTGGTCTGTGTAGGTCCTAATGCCCCAGTATAGTGCTGGGGACACTACACTGTAAAAAGGCGCCATCCTTCAAATGAGACGTCAAACCCGTCCTGACTCTCTGTGGTCATTAAAAATCCCAGTATGATTCTTGAAAAGAGTAGGGATGTTACCCCGGCATCCTGGCAAAATTTCCCATTGGCCTTTACCAATCATGGGCTTCTAATAATCCTGATTTAGGAATTGGCTTCATTACTCGGTTCTCCTCCCCACTGATAGCTGGTGTATGGTGAGAAATCTAGTACACTCTGGCTGGTTTCGCATCATCCAGGTGGGTGCTGCACATTGGTGGTGATAGTGGGATTCCCCATTACCTGTAAAGCACTTTGAGTGGAGTGTCCAGAAAAGTGCTATATAAATGTAAGGAATCAGTAGTAGTATTTTTGTAATTAAGCAGGTTGAGTATAGTCATAACAAGTACCTAAAGGCTAAAGTGGCTAAAGGCATTTGTTTAATTGATTGTGTAAACGGCTTGGAATTGAATCTGAATCTGGATTTTAAACTGCAAAGCAGGAGGAGCAAGCCTTGGTGAGCCTGGAGCCCATCCTTTCCTGTGTGGTTTCTCCTTAATGCCAGAAACCTGAACCTTTTTTTGCCTTGTCCTCTCTCCTCCCCTCTTATCTGCCCCGTGTAGTCCACTGTGTGCTGCACAGGACCGCATAGCATAAATCCCTAGATTCGATTAGCTGTGCTTGTCCAGGTGTGGGTTTCTGCTCTTTGCTGGTGCAGTGGACACACTGATCCCTGCCTCTTCTGGACTATTTTATGTCCGCAGGGGAACAGAAGTTACTGAACCGTGTCTGATCTCATGTATATGATTAATCCTTATGCTTCTTTTTGCCAGTTCACTGCAGTTTTTGTGAGGGTTTTTTTTTCTGAGTGCATGTGTATCGGCCTCTGTCCATTTGGTTGACTCACTGTGTGCCTTGTGTGATTTTGCTGTGAGTTGTAAAATTTGTGCAGCACATATTTAAGTACTGTAGAAGTATGTCTCAGGGATTTTTGCAGCATTCAAAGCTAGTTATAGCTGGGTATTCCCCCACCTTGATGCTTTCGCTTTCCTTGCCTTACCTACACAGGAGGGGGAGGAGGAAGAAAACTGTAACAGAGGTGTTTGTCAGTGGGGGGAAGGGGAGCTGTTCACCCAGCAAGTAATACCACTGTCAGCTGCAGAACCAGCAGTAGAAAAGGGGAAGCTGATTACATCATCTCTGCCCGCCCTCATTTCCTCCCACCTGTCAGGTATAACAGGGTTAGAAGGAAGAGGAAGAGACTAACAGAAAAAAGGGGACTGTGAGAAAAGGGAAAGAAGAACCTCTGAGTATCAGAACGTAGGAGTCCAGGGTCACACTGCACCACTTGAGACAGGAGTCTGGAAATCAACCTGGAAAAAAAGGATAAGACAAAGAAACCGCAAAGGTATGTGAAGAACGTCAGCTGGACCAAGAGGAACTTTGCTGTTGCAGTGCTGAGTTTCCTTGGAATTTTAAGCAAGAATCTGTTGTTGATATTTAATTTAAAAAGAGTCGGACTCTCTAAGTAAGTTTAAAAAGTATTCCCTGCTGTTTTACCAAAATTGTCTTCTAGGAATGTTCATCTGCATGTTATAATGTGTTGTCTGTAGGGAAGAATTATTATAATAAGGTCTTGACCCAAAGGGCTTTAATTACCCAGAGTCTTGTTAAAAAAAGTCTCCAGAGTTTGGGCTTTTTTCTTCATGACTTTGTTCTTTAACTGGTTTCTGAACCCAAGGAAGGATTTCGCAGGCAACACTGGCGTCCTAGCAGGCTGACAGATCGGCTGTCCAGTTAAAGCGTGCTTGGTCCGTGTTTAACTCAAAACAAAACAAAAGGCTAGGCTTAAGAGGTGTTTAACATTGTCATTTAAAGGCAAAAACTGTTTGCCGTTTTGTCGTTGTGTGACGCCACACTTTTTACTTTCTGTTGAGCGTACGTGTAGAAGATCACAGAGGGAATGTGAGGGAATATGAGGGAATATCTTTTGTCGTGGAGAGTTTGTGTTTTGGGGCCTCGTTGTTTATCTGAGCACATTTCTAAAGCGCTTCACTGTGTCTTAAGTCTGCTGGTAGCTGCTGGTGAAACCCCCGTACAAAAGCCATGGTTGATCGCTGCCCCTGTTATTGTCATTCTTATCCTTATTATTACCACTACAACTTTAAGCCAATTCAAAATTCTATAAATGGAGTGGAAGAGATGAAAAGAAAACAAATAATCATAAGCTTTTGATATCATTCAGGCTCCGAAATGCATTAACTCTTCAAACAGTGACCCACTTGTTTCCTTTGTGCTCGGTGTAATCCAAGAGCAGACGCAGCCCTGACTGTGAGCCAGGGAGCCGGTTGCTTCCTTGAGTGGCAGGAAACAGTTGCTGGAATATCAGGGTGGTATTTCATGGGAGGGGAGATATAAGGGGGTCTGACTAAGGAGACAGAGACATTAGCAAAGTAAACCGCTACCAGACTCCGGCCCTCCTGAAGGTACTTTATCATTCAGTGAGTTAAGCAGTTTCTCAGGTCTCCACCTGGTCTTCTGTGCTGTGGACCTGCTGCTGCAGAATGGCTGCCACACGTACAGGTGGGTGTTACACCAGAGTTGGAAGACACTATCCCTCCTTTATGCCTTGGGATGAAAAGTGCTACACAAATGCAAATGTTCCTACAACATTGCTGTCCCAGAATTAAATCCAGTGCAGAAACTCAAGAAATGAAATTCCTGTTTTTCACACTACTGACTTTTTGCTTAACCAGCTCTTTAACAGTCTAATAAGTTACATGTGTAATTAAATGTCTAAAATGTCACCTAATTGTCAATAATATAATTCAGGGGTGTAGTAAAACTGTAAGTCATAACAATCAAGAGCAACTTTGTATTAAAAGCCGAGTCCACATAATGGAATCCTTACAGGCTGTTTTCAATGTTTTTGTTGAGCAGGTTGGCAGGAGCCATGGTGTAACCTTTGAAATGTCCAGGAAGCTGCAGCGTGTTGCCCTGTATACTAATACAAGTGTATACTAATGCAAATAAAAAATGTAACCACTAAATTATCCCAGACATTTTTCAGATTCCACAGTGTTGAATATTAAAGCATTCAAGTCCGTATCAGTTAACAGAGGAATTTCTGAGACCCCCTGCGCAGTTCATCCGAGAAGGGCATGAATTGGCTACTAGACAGTTCAAAGAGTGGAGTCTTACGTTTCTGTAACCCCTCCCTGCAGGATCAAATTGAATGCCGTCAGCTGGAGAGTGAGGTGTGTTTGTGTGCACAGAGTCAATAGAAAAGGAGCCACACAACACACACATCTAATCTGACGATCAAAGTCCTTCATGCATAATGCTGAGCTCAGGAGCATTCATTCATCATTGTTGGGGAATGGTGTAAAAACAAGAAGGCTGGACACAGTATCTTCGTGAAAAAAAAAAAGAAAAAAACAGTTGTTCCTGATCTTCCAGCTATGTTCAATCATTGTACAGTATTACTCAGACAGTGACTGTTCTAATGTAATGGTTTAATACTCTAAATTTAGTCCATATGGCACACTGCACAGTAACAATAATCAAAATGCTTACAGTTCACGTGGAGTATTACACAGCCCAGTCAGAGCACTGTACAGGTATGTACATTTGCAGTATTATTGAAACAGCCCAGTTGCAATATTTATTCCTCACATGTAATTCATCTCTTGTTGGTGGAACATAACAGAAGATGGAAATGTTTGCATTATAATAAAAATCAAGTGCACTTTGTCATCAATTACATGAACTTTCTAAACCACCGTAAAATTCACAATCATTGTCAATCAAAAGCATGACTGCTTTCATGTTTTTTGCTGATCATTGTCTGCTGGGCAGTTTTTATAAAATGCAAAGCATTTGTTTTCTATATTTTTCAGATTTGGCTTTGGGGTGACTCCTAGTGAACCGCCTTTGCCTTTAACTGCATTAGACTGGCCACTTTCAATTAAAGGAAAATTAATTCTGTACAGGAGCAAGCACTCCTGACACCTGGCAAACACTAATCCATTTTGCAGGTTATCGGATTGGTTACGCCTATTGAAGCACACACCTTTTCAGTGGCTTATCGACATACTCGATTCCCTTGTTCCGGATGTCTGTTCTTGGGGTTATTGATCATGTGCTTTCAGTGCTTGTTAAAGCCCTGCCTGCTTTACTGTCTATTATATTCCCTCTGCATATAGGAAGCATCTTGCTGTGCTTTCATATTTAAGTCTCAGAATGATAATGCTGTCTCAACACACACCGTTCATTCTTGCCCAGTTTAACCTGGTATAATAATAATTCTTTACACTTATATAGCACTTTTCTGGACACTCCACTCAAAGAGCTTTACAGGTAATGGGGTTCCCTTCAACCAACTGGATGATGCAACAGTAGCCATAGTGCACCAGTACCTCTCCAGACAGCAGCTCTCAGTGGGGAGGAGAGCAGAGTGAATGTTCAGAGATGGGGATTATTAGGAGGCCATGATTGGAAAAGGCAAGTGGGAAATTGGGCCAGGATGCCGGGGTAAAACCCTCACTCTTTTTGTGAAACAAACTGGGATTTTAAATGACCACAGTGTGTCAGGATCTCCTGACACACTGACAAGAGGCACTGTCTCATCTGAAGGACAGTGCCTTTTTACAGTGTTCCCATTACTGTACTAGAGCATTAGGACCCACAGAGACCGCAGGGTGAGCACCCCCCTACTGGCCCCACCAGCACCCATTCCAGCAGCAGCCTTAGTTTTCTCCGGGAGGTCTCCCATCCAGGTACTGACCCGGCTCACACCTGCTGACCTTCAGTGGGCTGCCAGTTGTGAGTTGCAGGGTGACATGGCTGCAGGCTGGTTAAACCAGAGTTAGTGGAGCATCTGTTAGGTCTTTAATGCTATTTTCTACCTGACAGTTTTGTTTCATGTGGGTACAGGGGTAAAGATGACCAGCTGCTTGTGCATATGCTTGGATGTGATAGTAGAAATATTACCACCATGCTCAAGTTCTGTGCAGCCCTACTGTCACAAACACTACATTAAAACCATAAATTGTCACTCACGATGTTAATTTAACAAGCAAAGTTTGGTACAAGTGCTCTTTTGAAGGATCTCGATCTAAGTGATACCGTGTTCATCAGACACTTCACTGCATATTTTGTCATGCTGAAAATTATTTAATGGTTCACTAAGATTATTCAGGACCATATGGGGGGACAGAGCTGCACTGGAATGGAAGTACCAACTTCCATGGATTATGTACTGAGCGGTACTTTGTAGAAATGACATCAATTTATTGCGATAGGTAAATGCTTTGTGAAAGCTTCATGTGATTCTCACTGGCCTGGTGACTCAAGAGCCATATTCCATCCCTGCCCCTGTGTTGTATTGCTCTACCTTGGCGAAACTGTCCATCATCATCATGATTACTGGGTCTCTGTTGCGAACCTCACCATCACCACAGAGCAGCACCCTCTTGTTCTAATAGCTCTGTGGAAATCGGAGATAAGGCAGACAAGGGAAGTAGTTCAGGTGGGTAGCTGTGTCAGCATGCGTGGGAGGCTGCAAAGGAACAAGTAATAGGTTGCTTCAGGTCACACCTGAAGAAGGCTCCATGGCCGAAACGTTGTGTTTTCTTTTTTCTTTTTTTCAGCATGGAATAAACCTATTACTTGTTCCTTTGCAGACAAGGGAAGTTCCCCCAGCCTGCTGCTGCCTTGGATTCGCTTGGGTCAGGTTATCATTTGGTCATCATAGTTCTCAGTGTGTCTTCCTCTTAATTGCTCTCTGTCTAAAACTCTTGTCGCTATTCTTTTGTCTTTTGCTGTATTTTTTCTCTCTCTCTCTCTCTCTGTATGTGTTTGTTGTTCTGTCCTGACATATTGTCCTACTTTCAGAGCGATTGAGCCGATACCTATTTGATTACATCACACATTATGTGAGAAGTGGCAAATCCTGTAGTAAAAATGTATCGTCCTTTTGAGCAGGTTGATTACTTAGCATTACAGCAGAGATGTTTCCAAATCCATTTTCAGCCTCCAGTGTGAATTGAAGCGCTTCTTCGTTCTGAGTCCTTGTGTGATATCTGTGCTCACTGCTGCTCTCCAAATGATCCTTGCAGATATTACTGGAAGAAACTGCTCTCTCATCTGTGATGAGAGTGAGTCAGCACTGGGCTCAACATGCTTTTGTCAGGGCTGCTTCAGTGCTTCTTTTTGGCTAATTTATTCTTTTTATCACGCAGTAGAGAGGGAGAATCTGTTCCAAACACTAAAACAGTGACTAGAATTAACATGCATGTTCTTTCCAAGCGAAACAGCAAGGGCAGCAGGATAGTAGGGGTCTCCTGTTACAATTACAGTTTTCAGTTATGTATATTGTGCAGTTTAATTGAACAGTTCCCTTGAATGATTCCAATACAGCGGTACACAGTAAGACTTTCTCGTCAGCCTTCTGAAAGCCGATGTCTGCCCCCAGCAGGTAGTTGGCAAGCAGGCGAGAGATGGCAGCCAGTCCCTTCAGCCGGCGTCAGTGGGCCTCCCAGTCCCTCCGCGTCACAGCCAAGGAGCTCTCTCTGGTCAGCACCCGCAGCAAAGGCAATGCCATTGCAGAAAAATTCTCCAAGTAAGCCTCGCTCCAGCCGCCCACACAGACAGACACCCCTCGTTCTTCGCTCACAGATTAGCAGGCATACACTTTTTTGTGACTGCACCGCAATTATCCGAAGAGATGCACTGCTCACAGAGGAGCAGACGGAGCCGCCTCTCTGTCTGAGCGCCGGGAGCACACAGCAGGGCCACGCGCTCTCCTGCACACTGATGAAGCTCTGAGACAGCGCAGCTTTCTCTGTGTGGGGGGAAAAGGGAGACGCTACCTGGCAGCTTGTGAATGCTTTCAAGCCGAGCACTCGGTCTTGCAGATCTTGAGTCAGCTCCAGCGCTCTGTTCCACTCTGTCTTCTCATTTCTGTGACGGGGCAATGGCTTTTCCAGTTGGCTCAGGAGGTGAAACAGCTGTCATATATTAAACTACGTGCCAACAACCTACATATTTCCTACGTGGCAGCCAGAAAGGCGAGCAGAAAACACCCTAAAGCACTGATGCTCAGTAGCTGTACTCTTTCCCCATTTATAATTAGAATATTTTTTTTCTGATAGCACTTGTGCTTGGTTAAAGGGGAACTGCAATGTTTTTTTTTTTCATATCTGGGGGTTAGAAAGAATCAGCACTGATGCGTGCGTTTCAAAGTGCTATAAAAGTAAAATGTGCACAGTAATTTGTAAAACGTCCAATTTACGTCACAAGATAGACAAAATTTCCAGGTATGCGCAGTGCCATTTTCTGCAACGAGGCAACAAAACTTCCGGTGATGTGTAAACATTGTTCCCTATGATGTTGAAAGCAAGCAGGCTAGTGAATACATCTCTTTTAATCCAACAGAAATATTGCTTTCGATTTTGAGACAGTTTTGCATGCAGATCACGTTGGAATATGTCTGTGGTGAAATGTCTGCTGCACAACCTATATTTATTCGCTCCAACATCACATGACATTAGTCATTACGGAGACTAGTGAGCAGGAAGGGCCACATCACATGGCAGTTCTTGGGAACTCGAATCTGAGTTGCCTCAACATGGCATCTTACAGTACTTCCACAAAGTTCACAGTTTTGTGCTTAATTTGAAATTTATAATTTTTTTCAATAATGTCAATGTTTATTTTGTTACCGAAATCGAATAACCCGTCTGAGAAATATCGACTGCAGTTCCCCTTTAAAGGTACTGTTTGGATCAGAAACCATTGAAAAGACACTGACAAAAATAGGCCATTCAGCCAATTGTCCTTATCTATTCAATTTCATTTCTCTGAAAAAATGTGCATTAGCATCACCCTTGCAGTTAGACCTCCCCACATTATACACAAATTGAATAAAATAAAAAGATCACAAATATGCCTTTTGTCGTCTATTCCAGTGGTTTTTCAACGCTGGTCCCAAGTTTTCTGGTTTTTGGTCCAGCTGCAGTCTCAATCACAGGCTAATTGATTTCAATTCTCTATTATAGATGTGTTTTTAATTATCCTTTCAGCTCCTGAAAAACTGAATGAGATTTGTTGTTGGAATTAATTAACTCTGTGCTAACTAGTGAGTGTCAGGATCTCGTTCAGATGTTCAAGCTGAAAACTAATTGACTGGAAAAAAAACATGCTGTTTCATTCTCACCTGTAGCTGTTCACCATCAACTAATCACTTGTTAAGAGCTGTTTATTCAGAGATTTGGAAGCAAGTTCTTAATTAGCACAGTTGAGATGAGACTGAATGAAGATCTGTTTGCTGAAGTTGATGGAAACAAGGACTGAGTGCAAAAAAGAATCCAAACAGACGTGCTGATTAATTACATGCGTCAATTGACACTGGAGATGAAGGGCCCAGCTGGAATGAAAACAAGCGCACACAGCAGTCCCCAGGATAATACCAGGAGCTGCTCCTCTCTCTGGTTTCTGTCTCTCCAGCAGCACACGCTGTCTTTACTTTCTCTCACCATCTCCTGCATCCCCTTCTTTGCCTTTGTCCTCTTTCACTTTGCGCCAGAGTGCCTGTGATCTCATCCCAAACTCGTTCTTCCAGTTTTTCAAAACTCTTCTCTTCCTTTGGTGTGGGTGTGTGAAGAGAGGTTATGAGGAGGGTGCTGGGTTGACATTTTTCACTCGGCACATGTGACAGTGGCATTGTTGTCCTGAAGGTTTTTCCAGCAGCTCCGCATTTCTAATTAGTAACTTGGCTGTGTGGCAGCATGTTGGATTGTTATGGTGATTGTTGACTGTGTCTTGAAGACGACCAGGGAGCTGAGCCTGTATCCAGGGAGCCACTGGGCCATCTTTCTTGATTGGCACAAATGACATCAAAATCGCATTCATATCAAAAACATTATCATCCACCCATTTTCTGACCGCTTTATCCAATACAGGGTTTTGGGGAGATCTGTATCTCAGCAAGCAGTGGGCGCAAGGCAGGATACATCCTGGCAAAAGCTAGGGTGTGCTAGGGCACACAGTTTTCCCAGAAGCTAGTCTTTGCACTGTGGGAGGAAACCAGAGCACCCAGAGGAAACCCACACAAACATGGGAAGAACATACAAACTACATACACTCAGATAGTACCACAGGAATTGAACCCAGGGCCCCAGCGCTATGAGCCAGCTTTGCCTGTGCCTTGTCCAGCTTGCTGTGGGCTGACCTCTTGCTTCATCTCCCAGTCAAGATCCCGGATCCTCTCTGGCTTGGTTCCTCATCTCATTTTCATTCCCGACTGCAAACCTCACAGGTCTGACCCTGCAGACTGGAGACCCCCCAGGATTCTGTCATGGGATCTCGCTCTCCAGCTGCCCGTTTTTTTCCTCCATGATCTCGGCCTGACTGTGGCCCCGCCTGTGCGTGGGTTCGAGTGCCCACCTTGCATTCATCACAATCTCCCTGAGAGCTGAGTCATTACACAAACACCTTGTGCTTTAGGTCTCTGCGCACAAGACTCTGGAAGATGAGACGTCAGCTTTAGAAAATCATAAGAGAGCTCAGGTCTCCCATGTGGGCTTGTTCCCTGCTGTTGCATGGCAGGTCGAATCCCAGGACCTACTGCAGATTGAATTAACCTTTATTGTCCCAAAGGGAAAGTGTCTTGCACATCAAGAGCTCATAACACATAACTTATATGACAGTAGTACAACATGGCAGCAGTACAATATCATAGTACAAAACATTTAACAACATTGCTCGGTCAGATCTCAGTCCAGTGTCATTAGAGTAAAAACACACAGATAGCTGGTAAGGTGTCATGCTACAGGTGCTCGGTACTTGAAGCGCTCTGGAAGCTCCAGTGGGTATGTTGTCCAGAAAGAGGGCTCGAGGGTTCGCACACCAGCAGCTGACTCCGCCTGGGTCTCATTTCCCCTCAAAAGAACACTTCTACTGGCAATCTCTGTGACATTTCCATCTGCAGATCATTTTTATTTTTAGTAAAGAGTGCAGGGTGGGTAACATGACTTCCCATGTCTTTGTGGGTGTATTTTCTCATTTCTTTAATTTGCAGGATTTGAGCAAACGATAGTTCATTGTTTCATCAATATTTCCAATTCACCTGACAACACTTAACTGCAATCTGAGTGTTCCACCACTAGATGGCGCCATAGTTGATTATAGGATTTTTTTGTTGTTGACTACTCTCTTTACTAGAATACTTATTCATTAGATGCAGGGTGCAGCTTTTATTTAATATTACTGTATATTTCACAGTCTCCCTGCATGCGATTTTTTCATTACCCTTAAAGCATATTGTGCCATAGGATAGGGAGAAATGGTGTCCATACTGCCAGTAGTGCTACCAGCTCGCTAATGTAATAACACAGATATGGATGAAGAGTGGGTTCCCCCTTATCAGGGCCCCAGCCTCACTCTGTTCGCCCTGTCTTCCACAGGTACCAGAAGGCTGCTGAAGAAGCGAGCACAGAGAAAAAGAAACATGTGAGTATCTATTCCCTCCTGCCGGTTCGAGAGTGGCATTGCTGCCAACAACACATATTTTGTCTTTTGGGAAATAAGGTGGAAGTCATAAATGTGGAAGAGGACAAGGACACCAGTTTCTCATTTAGCATTTTCATTTTTCCTCCTTTTTGGTTTTGTTTCACCATCAGTCCCCTAGGTGGTGGTGTTGCTTGTGAAAAAGGGTGGGTCTCCCTTTCTCCTCCATTAACCCTGTTCTGTGTTACTAGCTCCATGGCTCATTGGTTTTGTTAACCCACTCTAAGACTTCAACTACTGAGAAATATTCCTAGACAGAATTATGACCATAATCCTGATAACAGTGAATGGATCAGTATATCGATATTTCTAAAATAATACCCCACTGATGGCATTTAATTTTGTCTAGTGCACACAGGCTGCACAAACAAAAAATTGAAACAAAATTACAACCACAAAGCCTGAAGAGACTATTTGTGAAATAGATACATTGTTTTTATCTGCTACACACTAGAGCAATTAAATTAGAAGGGCAAACCGAACAGTGGAATGTGTAGTTAAAATGTAGGTTTCACAGAAATATCATGTGTCACTAGTAAGACCCAAAAAGATTTTGCTGTTTTGGAATTAGTCCAGGGAACAGCCTGGATTTCCTGGCTTCAAAGAAATGACCTATAGAAACATGCTAAAGAAACTGAAAGTTTTTAGTCTTGAACAGAGAAGACTATGAGGGGAATTGATTCAGTATTCAGAAGTCTTAGAATCATTAAGAATGGAGAACAGGAAGTATTTTTTACACAAAGGGTTGTGGGAGTATGGAACAAGCTACCTAGTTATGTTGTTAAATTCATTACCCTATGTGAACCGCTGGATGAGATCTTTGGATTAATTAGTTACTAAGACCCAAATGAACTAGAAATATTGAATCACCCCTTCTTCGTTATGAACATTTATACGTTCTTTTGTCACATCTTAACGTGCATTAAGTCCCTTACCCCGTACACACACAAAACGTATTACCACACAACATCAGACCTATCATTCCCTCTTCATTGTTCTTCATATTATTGCCATCTTTCAGTCTTCTTATTCCTCCTGTTTCACGTGGCAATTCTCTTTCTGTCTCTCTTTCTCCCTATCTCTTTGTATCTCTGTCTTTTAGTACACTCCCAAATCCCTTGCCAGTGCTTGGCAAGTTAGTTAAAGCCATTGGGCAGCCAGTCAGCTACTAATCCTTATTTAGACTCTTTAATCTCAGGTAATTCTCCTTTTGTTTTGTATAACTGCTCCAATTACAGTCCATCTGTTTGGTCAGATTTGAGTAGATGACAGACAGTGACCAGGCAGTCATGCAGCACTAGAATGTGCAGTTATCACGCTGAATAAGACAAGGAGTAAAAGTAGTATTTGCCAAGGGCCACCACAGTGGATTTGAAGGGAGGGGTTTTCTGGTGTTTCCTGTGAGGTAGGTCCAAGTGTTGGCTGTGCTTATTTAACAATAAGGTTAATAGTTCTCATACAACAAAGCGGTTCTTGGGTGCGGTTCAAATGGGGGTGGGACGATGATGATTTATTCATTTTGTTTCTTATTTTCTGTGTTTCCGTTGCAGATTAAATCGGTTTTATGAGAAAGTCATATTTTGGTTTAGTCTGAGTTTCTGATAAACGTTTGAATGTTTAGCTCCCCATTAAGAAAGCATGAGATAAAAATTCAATTCCACTACATTGTGTCTTTGTTCTTCTTGTTAGAACTTGTCTTTGCTGAAACCACATTCTGGGAAGGTGAAAAACTTGTTCTTGGAAAACCCGTAGGAGGTTGAGCAGTGTGTTCCAATCATTCAGCTTGGTCTGAAATTATGTTTTTGCCACCGTTGATGTCTTTGGTGTGGGTATAGATAGATTCTTCTGGAAGTATGGCCAGGCCACCCTGCTTTCACCCAGTCTCAGTCTAGAGGGGCCTACTAACAGACGGTGATCCAATCCTACATTGTAACACGCTGCTTGTAAACTGCTCACAGTCTGAGATTGTTGGCTAACAATTATTGTTTATTGTTTAAATTATTGTTATAAATTATTGTTTTGTATGTGTACAATTATTGGTTATTGTGCATCAGTAGAGCATAAAAAAGTTTCAATTTTTTAAATAAAAAACAAAGTCTGGCCACAGTCCAAAGAACTGGATAATGGAAACTGCACTGTTGCACTCTGGTGTTCACAGGGGCTGCCCCTATCTTTACCGTCAGTAATGTCTAGCCTTCCGTTTTCTCTCAAAGGGAAGATAAAATGTGTAGAAAACAGTTGTGATTTTCAAGAACCTGGAAGAAACAATTGATGCAAGGACCGCATGGCTTAAACTGCTGACTGAGCAGAGCAGAAAACCTGATTCTCATTAATTTAATTAGGGTTTTAATATGAATTAACTGGGAAATTGCTATAGAGGTATTGTACAATTTAAAATCCAGGTCAAATGCAGCACATCAATACACCACACCAGTACCTGTCAACAAAAAGAAGTCTGCAGATGCTTCTTAAACCTGCCAAGTTTTTCCAAACCTCTAATGTTTTTATTACCAGCCCAAAACAGCAGAAGAAAATGCATCTTGTGTAGACTAAGTGCTGACAAACTCGGAAAAGGCTGGGAGAAGGCATTCCTCTCTCATGTGACTTGATAAATCATAGAAACATGCGCAGCACAGTGGCCGCAGAAGAGAGAGAGAGAGACGGTCTGCACTCTGAATGAGACAGAAAGTACCTAGGAAAGCAGTTCATGGGAGGAGTTTGCAGGAGGGGAAGTGAACCCGTCTCTGTGAGGATTCAAAGGAGGAGAATTAAGATGTATTTAAACATGTGTATGTGCAAAGCTTGTTTTCAATTAATGGCAGAAAAATGTTTCTCTGCAGTATTTTGCTCATGCAGTTTCTGTTACACTTAGCCTTGTAACTGGCTGGCTATTCTGTAGTGACTTTAACTGAGCATCATTTCAAGAATGTTTTTGGATTTCTCAGTGTAGCTAGTCAAGGCCAATTGATTAAAATCATTACAAATTAGTGTATCCTGAGTTAATTTCAGTTATCTTTACTAGTTGTATTTATGATTAGTCCACATATGTATGACCTTGTCCCATTTCAGTTTCTCTTCTCATATGGTACATTTGGTACTGTAGAAGACCTATTTTCTTTACAAGCTGCCTTGTATATAAAGAAGTTAGATCTGCCCTCAACATATTAAGAGTGTGATTTTCTAGTTTCAATGCTCTGGAGAACATCAGCTGCACAGCCTGTCAGCCATGGATTCAGACCTAGAAATGTTCAAACGTGGCCAGTTAAGGCACTGTCTAAATATCCTCCTGTTTTCCCTTTACAAACTCATTCATCCTCTTCAGAAAGTATTTTTCCACTCTGTGTTTCTTCGAAACCCCAACCAGAAATGAGAGTGAAAAGTGTTGGGCAAAGCAGGTCAGGAACTCTTGGGTTCCTCATAAACATACGGCGACTCCGATGCTCCAGGAGGGGAGGAGGGGACAGTTCGGCAAGTCGTGCAGAGGCAGACGTTTTCTGTAGTGCCCGAGGAGAGAAGTTCACCGAGTTCTTGGTCGAGCTCCTCTGGTGAAGCAGCTGGCCAGATTGCAGATACCACTAGCCCCGGTCTAGATTGGACAGCGTGCGTGCGAGCAAGCGCAGGTGTTTCTTTTCCCCGGTTCCATTTCTGTTCCTTTTATTTCCCGAAAGACTGAAGCAGCCAGTCAACAAAGAGTTAAACAGCCCCAGAATTTATCATTTCCTGCTTTCTAGTTTCCTGGATTTTTCTTTCCCTCTCCCCCCCTTTCTGTCCCGGCCCGAGGGGGCTGGGCTCGTTTGTACATGTAGCACTGCTAACTGGAAACATCTGGGAGTGCTCTATCATTCCGAGGAGCAGAGAAAGAGAGGCCAGCAAGCTGCCGGGACCCAACTAAGGTTGTTTCACTTTGTCCTTTTTTTCCACCTTTTTCACTGTCATTTAACAGCCTACTGTATCTGGAAAGAAAATGTGTTTTTTCCTATCTGAGCTGTTCTGTTTTTATGTGTGTCTGCTTCTGTGCCTTTAACTGTTAAAACATGGGGTTTCTGGTCATGGGTAAAATTGGGGAGAGTAGTAGGAAATCGAGGTGTACAGTATATTTAGGTAGTGCTTTGACTGTCCCCGGTAACTGTGATCTGATCAGTCCAGTTGCCAAAGGTTATTTTTAGCAGTGGTGTAAAAAGTACTTTCAGGGTTTCTGAAGCGGATTAAATTATTCTTGTTCAAATATACGTTTACATATAATCATGATGTTCCTGCAGTTTCCTTTTTTTATTATAAATGCTCTCTTGAACATTGCAGAGCAGACGCTTTCAGGTTCCTCAGCAGTAGGGAGGGCTGTGTCCAGAATGAGTGGAATCTGCTCCACAGCTCTACTGCAGAAACATTCTTCAGGGTCCGATCTGCATGAACACATATCATTCTGTCCTGTCTTTGTCTTTTTAAAACGGCTGATCTAGTATTTCAGACACGCAGCATACTTTCATTTTACTTTATATTTTGTACACCTCTGTCTCCAAGCCTGTGAAAGTTGGTCTGATTCTGTGTATCTTCTTGTTACGTTTCCCTGATAGTGACCCAACCACATTAATGTCTTTTACTGAGATGAAAATGATTCTCAAGATCAGCCAATTCATTATGACAAGGTATCAACCTTGTTTCATGTGAAATAAAGGCTGCTATAACCTGACTAGCCAATGTACTACAATGGGCAGGACTGCACTTACAGCACGCCAGCAAAAGGTTTCTTTAAATCTTTCTCTTGGCCAGCACATTTCCGTTCTTTCCACGCAACTCTAATAATGGGAACTCGTGGAAGCAATTTATTAATAAAAATGTGTCTGATTTCAGTAGTGTGCAGGGTTCAGTTAAAATGAGCATGCAGTTTGTTACAAAACTGCATCGCTGTGTACCTCACTAATTTGAGGATGTCAAATTAAACCACAGAATTAACTAAGTGCTCCTGTATGTCGCCATTAGTGACTGCTGTGATCGTTTTATAGGGCGGATCTTGTCACTTAAATTCACCGAGGTGTCATTGGGTAGTCGGAAAGATTTTAACAAGCTTTGGAAAGACAGTCCACGCGCCAGCACAGAGCTGTGCTATGTAGAAGCGTAACCGAATCTGAACTGGAATACACCAAACCGATAGCATCAGGATTTGGGATGCCCTGCAGGGCGGTTTGAGATGATGCTTAGAGAGGTGATTTTGCACTCACGAGCTCCTGACCAGCGGCGCCCCTCTCTTCCTGCAGGGCATCGACACCCTCCCGCCTTCCTTTCGGAAGGGGAACCTGAGTGTGCTGAAGAAGAGGTGGGAGCAGCAGCCGGCCACGCACGACCCGCCGCCGCCGCCCACGCCCCCGAGCACCGCACCCCGGGCCCGACCCTGTGCCAGGCCCGACCCAGCCCAGAGCCCACCAGGCGAGTCGCGCAGCAGCCAGGACAGCGCCGGGAGGCCCAAGTCACCCGGTTCGGCACTCGTCCCTGGCAGCCGCTTCCGGTACCCGAGTGAGGGAGAGAGGGCCGGAGGAAGAGAGGAGCAGGAGGACGACGCGGCCATGGAGAGGAAGCTGTGGAGGCAGAACGATGGCGCCGACGGCGAGAGCATGGTAGCAGGCACCACCTCCCCTGGGGGCAGCGTCCACATCGAGAAGCCCAGCGTGCCCCTCAACAGCCTGAAGAGGCTGTTCGAGAAGGGAGAGAGCACACAGGGCAAGGTAGTTGTTCGCCTTTTTCGTTGTCTTCTTCTTCGGCTTTGTTTTCCTCATCTTCATAAGCTGGACACTAAACCCTTTGGACAATAAGCACCACCCAAACAAAGTGAAAGTACAAAGGTTTCCCTACCGTAGTTTATTCGCCTGGCACTTTTATCCAAAGTGACGTACATCCAAATCTATTTATACAGCTGGACATTTTAGTAAAACGGTTTGGGTGAAGCACCTTGCTCAAGGATACAATAGCACTGACCCCCACCTGTGATTTAAAACCACAAGAGTTACAAGCTCAGATGTTCTCTCAGCCTTCTGCATGAGCATCTGCTATAAACTGTGCATTATGCTCAGTGCCTCAAAGTGAGTTAGTGCTGTGCTTGTCTCCGTTCTATCTTTTAATCTTGTACTGAACCAGTTGGAAGGTTTATTCTATTCCGAAAGGAAAAGAAAAGAGACAATGTTTCAGCTGAAGCAGGACATTTACTAGAGCTCTTTGAGAGACTTACGTTACTCATCCCACCCATTATTTAACCCCATGACCTCCCAATCAGGAGTTAAGAAACCTAATTATTACTCCACTCTGCTCCCACAACCCTAAACTTAAAAACCAGATGTGTGAATATGGCGTTGTTTTAATGTGTTCATATTTGAATGGGAGAAAACTCTCTCACTAACTCAGGCGCCCCTCACATGCTCAGATGCTCTCACGCACTGAAGAGCACATTGAGGGTCTGTGCCACAGGCATCCCTCGTTTGTCTCAGGCCTGAGATGAGTCACAGAGGCTAGGGGGGTCACAGAATAAAAGAGGACTTATTCTCTCTCCCTCCTGCTTCTGCTGTGCTGGAGGGAGTGTCACCGGACCCAGTCCAGTGTGTCTACACACTGAGCAGAAGACTGGTGGTGTTTTCACCTCTGGCGACGAGGCAGAGGGTGTAGATACAAAAGGTCTGTGTCGGAACAGCGGGGCTTATTTCTCAGAGAAAACATCCAACTTTTCATCTACACAGCTAAAGCCTTCTTACTGCTTCTAACTGAAATGAACATTCAATATATTTATATATAGAAAACTTTTTCCACGGTAACAAGAGACAATAGTTCTTTTTATTTATTCTTGGAAAAGACTCGGGATTTGGTTCCTGGTAATTAGTCCTGCCAAGGAAGATGGAGAGAGAGTGTGGGCTATGAAGCTGGAATAATTTAAACCTTTGTGTTTTAAACAGTATCCTATTCCTGGAACTTCAATAGAATGATCAGTTCCCCCATGTTCCAGATATTTAGATGAGCTCGGCACTGTACTGAGATGATGTGTTTTCTGGTTCCATTTATGCTTGTTTTTAAAGGAATTTCTCATAGAGGTATGATAAATTAACATCACCTTAAAACGTTTCTTATATTCTGTATGAGTTCAAGTTTACAGTTCTTAATCCTGAAGACTTTCATTCACAAAAATTCAACATTTTCCTTTCCCTTAACCCCACACGTTAAAACCCACCACTCCTTCTGAAAGCCAGCAACAGCTGACCTGTTAGTGCCGGGGACGTCAGTACTTCACAAGAACCGAGGACTGCAAATTTGAGGAGACTTTTTCTGGCCATCGTTCTCATTTTCTTATCAATTGGTGTCAATCTAGTGATCTGCTGCCGCCATCTCCTTGAAGCACCTCGTCTGCTTCAGCGGTTTGAAAATCACACATCCTTTAAGCTGGCACCCATCACGTATCCCAAGATGTTTGCCTGATAGCAGAACAGATTGCATGAACATGTCTTTATTTTCGCAAGAGCCCGACTCCAGTCATGTGTGCCCTCGGAGGAGTGAGTCAGTTTCGGCGGTATTGGTGTGGTTAGGGTCTCTTTGGTTGAAGCCATGGGTTTCCCGTCTCCTCGTACTCCCAGCCACCCCCTCTGTGACATAGGCCGACCTGCCAGCTCACAGGAAGTGGGTCATGACTCGTCTGCCCTGAAGGAAATATGACGCCTGACTGTGCTGTGACCCCTCTCCCCTTTCTCTAAACCCGAGCGCCTGTTGTGCGCTGGTGGCTTCTTAGAGGGGTGATGTCACTGCTGGGGTATGTTCCTCATATGAATCAGTGCAGGGCTCAGACGTTCTTGGGTTTCTTTTTTTTTTCTTGCACTACGTTTCTGTTCCTTTTTCCATGAATTAGTGGTGATTGGCTGGCACGCTGTGGTGAAATAAGTTGATTTACCTGCACTCTTTCTCTCGTGCTGTAGCTGGTGACGAGAGTGAATTTACGCAGAAGGGCTTCTATACTTAGTAAATGTTCACATTTCAGTGGGGAATGTCCTCGTTCTCAAAATCTTCGGATATTCCCACTCTAGGCTGCATGTCTGGGCTTTTGTTTTGTTGTGCTGTACTGTAGTCAGTTGTGGTGTTATTTTTTTCAGTTCAATTAAAAAACAATCTCCTGTGTTCAGCCAAACATCTCTGCACACAACCCGAACTGTGATCCCAACCCTAAATGTACGCTATAACCCAAGGGTAGCTTCAGTTCTTAGCGTAACCCTGACTCTGAACGCAGCATCTTAATAGAGAGCTGCAGAATCTCTTTGGATTCTCGTTCTCTGAATAAAACTGGGGTGTGGGTAGTGGTGAGAGGTACAGAATCAATATGAGAAAAGTTCACCATTTCTGCTTGTTGGGGCTGGGGTGGGGTATATGTGCTCATGTCTCTATTGGTGTCAGCCTGTCTCTCCTCCCCCACACTCTGTTATCTCTTATACCAAGGAAGGCCAGATACACTTACAGCAGAGGGGTATAGTGGACCACGGAATCGTGTTTAGAACATCGGAAATAAATTCTTGTGCTGGTGCTGATCATCCCAGGCACCTCAGCTTCGCTTTTCTACAACAGCCTGGTATTCACACCATTCAAAAGCAGCGATAGGTTCCCGTTGGTGCTTGGCTGGTATTTTCTGCTTCTCTCAGCAGTGTAACGTGTCTGCACTGGCATGTTTGGATGAGATGAAACTGATTATATGACTCGCTTCCCTGGAAGCTGCAGAATCGGTGCAATCAGAGAGAGCAAATTCAATTAATTTCATTATTGCAATGTCAACAAAGTTGATTTGGAATTTTCTCCAGTGCGGCCAAGTTAAAAAAAAAAAACAGCAAAAACAACAAAACACACATTAAACTTACACAAAAAACACGTATCACACAATATACAGAGTACATATTATGGAATCAATACAACGTCCAAAATCTGCATATTGAGGTGTCTAATAGCCTCTAGATTGGAGCTATTTCAGAACCAAACAGTATCACATTTAATATTTAAAAACTTCCTTCCCAAAAGGGAGAAGTATAAAAATGATCTGGTGGCGTGGATGGGGTCTGTGGAAACATTCTTAAGTGTCCGGTTGATGTGGCTGTCATAAACAGAAGCAACAGAGGCAAGATTGCATCTATGGAAGGTCTTGAATGCTGTACATATGACTCTTTCCAGCTGTTTCCTCTCTTGTTTCCTCGCTGTATTGCCATCAATTTTAATTCAGAATTAAAAGGAGCCTGCCAGATTAAATGATGATGTTGGAACAGAAGCTGGACCAATTTGCTTTTGAACCGGAAGGCACTTTCAGTAGTTGCTTGCTATAGAAGTGGTAAGAAAATCTGATCTCTATGTCATTGAGTAGGAAACGTTAGCTGAGTCCTCATTAGGTCTCATCACACTGAATCTCGTGGGTATTGCATTCCTCCAAATAATGTTAGCATGTCGGATCGGTGCATTTTTTGGTATTAATCAGACCTTTAATTCTGCCAGTTTTGTTGATAGCGCCCTTGGTCTCAGTTTGTCTCTGGATTGTGGCTGTCGTGTCAGACAGTGCTGTAGTAAAACGCTTCACTGTCTCCACACCCTGCTAATCCTCTCAGGTCTGTGTGGGTGGAGGGGAGGTATTTACAGCATTTAAAGGCTTATTCCTGCAATTGCCCCACAACAAGTCCCATCTTTACCGGCTGGCTCCAGCCTCCTCACCTCCTGGTCACATCGTCAGGCTGCCAGCAGTGCAGCCTGAATGGTCCTGACAATCAGATTTCCTGCTGGGCACCGGAGCTTAAATGGAAAACTTACTCAGACTCCTGTTGTGCAGTAGAAAGTCCCCTTCAGACATTTTCTCCTGCAAGCTCTTGTGCAAACTGTACTGATGTGGAGGAGATCCACACTGCATTTTAAAACCACACATTGGTCCAGGCAAAGTTACTCATATTAAATGGTTGGTTACTTGAGTAGGTCCTCTTTGAGCTGCTCGTTTTTTGGGATCTATATTCTAAATATTGGATAACAGAACCTGATTTAACCCAACTGGATTCTTTTACTGGAAAGCAATGGCTTTTTTATATGTTGCTCATCATTATTCCCAGTAACTTTGCTCTAAACCTCATCTTTTGTGTGTCGGAACACCAAACTTTGTTACCAAAGAGCATGTGGCGGGATTAAAACTGTTTTAAAGTTTATTCTGACATCATGAGACGGAAGCAGTTTGTGACACTCCAGATATGAATATTAATGAAAAATAATTCTTGTCAGGCATTAAAAAACAGAAACATTTCCGAAAAACATTGCAGCTTTCCTGCAGTGCCCCCTGCAGTGTAACAGTGTCTGCCATCAAGGAAGACCGTAAAACCAGGCTTCTGGTCGCAGACCCAGGCTGTGTCTGGCTGCTCCCTGATCTCATTACTGGATTAGGAGTCATGGTGGTTAGAGAGGTGGGGCTGTGGGCCAGCTGGCAGGCTGGCTGATATCCTGTACCTCGCTGTAAACCATGCCATTAAGTGCAGGTGAGTCTGGGGACTGTTGAAGTGATGTACACTGTCTGATCCACTCCCTCTCCTGGGCATTTAACCATATATAGAAGCGTTTCCTTGTATATCAAACTGCATTTCTACTTTTCTCAGAATACATTTTAGGAGATGCATGACTGAGTATAATTTAAGGTTCTTGAATTCAAGAATAAGAGCTCAAATGTCATCATTTTTTTATCCTAAATAACTGAAAATGTGGTCTCACAATTTCATTGTACACAGCACAGAGTAATCACATACTGTAAAACCAAATAATTCTAATTATTTCCATCAGTTCTTTTTCATGATCAGTGCATTTTATGGAATGGAACAGGTAAAGGTTCATTCCATGCTGAAATGTGAAGAAAAGTCTGTTTCCGTTCTGTTCCGACACATGCTGACTCAGCTGCCTACTCAAGCATTTCATGAAATGTTATTTTTTTTGTTTATATGGAAAATACCTCATCACCTGCCTACAATACATTGTCAATCAGGAAACGATGCATGTTAGAAAATGAGTCATATAAAAGATCAACAGCAAAACAATATAAAAAATAATTAATAGTGACCATTGGACAGCAGACTAGGATGGGAAGATGATTGATTCAACCCCAATGCCCAGCTCACACCATCAGGGCCCTTGTCAAGTGTGAAATCCCCCTACAGGCAATGTACTGATAGCCCACTCCAGCAGCTAGGGGGAGGAACAAGGGGCTTTTTGGTTTTTATAAATGCTCCCCAGGATGTGAGTAGACCTACACAGATTGCCACAACCCTGTGTGTGAGAGAGAGAGAGTTGACTTGGTGAGTCTTGGCTGCTGAAGCCAATGGAATAATTATGGAATAATTAGGTGCTCAACAGCTGGGATTGCTGAAGAACTCCATGGTTTTGATGAGCTTTATTTCTTTTTTTCCACCCAGGAATCTCGAGACCCTGGGAAGACTGGAGCAAACAGCAGCTCTGAGGACATGGATCTGCGCCTGAGAGACAGAGGTACAGTTCAGAGTAACACAGTACAGACTAAACCGAGCGGCACAACGCAGTCCATATTGGTGCAGTGATTTTCAGGGCAGATTACAGCAGTAATATGCAGTCCAGAGGGTACAATATAAAGTTGAGAAATGCAGTAAAATACAGTACACTGCAGATTCATCCATAAAAAGGTAGTGTGTCTGTAGTAAAGACCTTTACAGTGTGACAGAGTGCAGTCGAAACCCATACTGTGCTTGCAGTGCAGTAAAGAGCAGTGGTCATGGCCTTATGTGTGAGTGAGCTCGGGGAAGTCTCTCACCATCAGCTCCAGCACCGGGGGACTGTGGCTCTGTGCTGCCCCATTGCTTTTCACACTGAACAATAATTCCTAATGCAAGAAATTGTTAAGGGTTAATAAAGTGATGTTAATGATCGTGTAAGCCACTATGACAACCGTTTGATTAGCATGTTTGTGGATGATGATGTTTTTCTTTATTGGCCTTTTGAATGATGACAAAAACAATTACAGACAGGAGATACGTCGTCATTATTATTATAGTTTTCAGACTCTTAACAAGCTATTTGTCTGTTTTCTAATCATATGGTACTGGAAGAGTTCTGATTGAATGTTGTTTTGTATTATGGTATTGTATCGTTGTATTGTATCATTGTCATATGTTATGTTTATGAATTCTTGATGCGCAAGAGGAATAACCTTAGGAGCAATAAAGGTTGATTAATTCCCTCAATTCATTCTGGAGCTTTGTGTGCATTGCCACTCAGCTCAATAGTAGCATTTGAATCCAAAGTAAAGTCAGTTAGGATGTAAAGGTGTCATGACTGGGGCTCCCCTACACCATAGAAACAGACAGTAGCCCAGGGTTTTACCTTCGTCCGTGATGGTGTGTGTGTTTCTGACTGCGTTCATGAGGCTCTGTCATTGCCAGTGTGTGACTCCCGCTGCCCTTTCCATCTTCCCTGTCCCAGGTCACCTGGAGGGTCTCTCAGGATCGGGCGGATCCTCCCCAGACAAGCTGCTGGAGATGACTTCGCTGAAGGACAGAATGGCCAAGTACCAGGCTGCAGTCTCCAAGCAGGAGCCTCTCCCTGCGGGGCATGGGGTAGGAGCCACAGTTCTGCTTCCTCTGTTGCTCAGAGTGGGCTGTCTATCTCCAGCGTTGCTCTGTGTCTCCCGCACAGTTATAGCCCCTCTCTCTCGGGGTCTTCAGTGCAAGACACTACTCTCTCCGTTTTAATAACAATAATAATAATTGCTTACACTTATATAGTATATACTTTTCTGGACACCCTACTCAAAGCGCTTTACAGGTAATGGGGACTCCCCTCCACCACCACCAATGTGCAGCATCCACATGTTTTTTTTTTTCCACTGAGAATTCACTTCCAGGGCACTGCCCTTCACCCCAGCCCTGAACTACAGCTTCACAAGAGCTACTGTAGCACATTTATTACAGCTGGCAACAAGTAAGCAAAGGAGATCCAAATATCTGACATGGATTTATGAAATACTGAAAGTTGTTTACCTCCCTCTACATAGCCTTTCAATCACTGATTAATTTAACTTAGTTCCCCCCACTCTGTGAACTGCTGAAAAGTGGTTTTGCAGAGCCATTAAGTGACGGCCATCAGTATTTCACCTTTATGCACATTATGCAAATGCTGCAGCCCTTCCGATGAATCAAAGTGAGATGTGATTTGTCTCCCAACAAAGGATCTCTCCCAGACACATTCCAGAGGAATCTGACTCTTGTTTTCAAATGAATGTCTATTCAGTCTGATGGCTCTTTTTCAGACTATGCAAAAGTCACTAAATGCTTCCTGATTATTTCAGGAGATACCTTGCTTACAACCTCTTGCTGTGCTGTATAGGGCAATGGTGATGACAATGGTCAGATCGTTTAGGAGATGGATGCAGATGTTCCAATTAACCTTCGTCTCTGTATTCAGTATCTGTGTTTTCTGTCCCCCTCTGAGTAGTTCTCTGTTGTTTTCAATGTGTGTTCTTTTTTTCCCAAAATCTTTTTCATTTGTATCAAACCTCGCTTACGGTGACATAGCCCCCTAACTCTTTATCCGTCTCTCGGCCTGTGAAGACGGAGCACGGTCTGAGCGAGGCAGAGCTGCGCAGCCACAGCGTGGATCAGAAGGAGAACGTACCTCCCAGCCCCCTGGACAAGCAAAGAGTGAGTCGCGTGCTGAGGAATTATTTTCAACCACGAAATGCTTTAGTGTCACGTTATGTGTAAGGGAAATAAAACTCCTGAGCAGCACGATGTGAATTACTGCACCCATCACGGAGCTGTGTGCGCTTATGTACAGTCATGAAGCACAAGTGTGTTTGTGTTTTTGTGTGAAAGAGCTGTTGGGGTGGCAGTGTCTCTCAACATCAGTCCCCTGTGCTGACACACCCATCTCTCTTCCCTCCTGAAAACCTAAGAAAGATTTCGAAAGTGACCAACAAAGCTTAGATGCTTCAGCCTGTCAGTATAGAACATTCCTTCAATATCCTTGTTAGTTCAGTGCCCAATTGAAACAAATATCCCTTCTTTATACCTATCCACCATGCTGTCTAGAAGATCTATGCAGACACATTTATAACAATACCCTCTCTTGCTGTCCTGCTCTCTCTCTCTTTAACCCTCAACATTTCACCTGCCCTCTCCCCCCTGTCTCCTTCCACAGAGCCCCTGCGCTGAGGTCAGTCAGAACAGCAGGAAGGGCTCCTCTGCAGACAGCACAGGTAAGCTGAAGTCTGTGCAGGACATTTTCAACTTGCCACCATGATCTGGTAAAACAGTTCTGATCGGGTATTGAAGCCTATCTGCAGAAGCTGACTGAGCTGCAGTAGTTTTTTTCAGACATCGAGCCTCTAATTTTGCAATGTCTGTCTGCTAAAAATACAATGTAACATTACTGGAACATCTTCTAATTCCAATATGCAATATTCCCTCAGAAGTCACTTCATGTTTTTGTGTGTTTTGCATTAGTAAGCATGAAATGTCAGGAAAAGGAGACCCATAAAATCCAGGTCCAGCAGCGTGAGTTCCCACATCTCCTGAAATCCTGGAAAGTTCATTTTTCTATGCCTGGAAAAGTCATGGAAAACATCTACAGGACTCTTACTAGACTGAAAGAGAGACTTAGCTCCGAAGTCTTGACATACTGAAACAGAAACAAATGTTAATAATTACACCAAAAGGTTAAGTATATTCAAGCAAATGACTGTGTACCAGAAAGTGGGAGACAGTCGATTGCGACAAAAGCTCATGGAAAATTCAGAAGTATTTCCTGGAGCGATATGGGGGAAAATAACTTCATAAAAGGCCTTCCAGGAACCCTTTTTTCTACATTTATCTTCCACCGCTGTTACCCATTGACATCATGCTGCACTGCAGGCTATTTCCCTGAGTGCAGCCTTGCTGTGGCTTCTTTGGCACTGTAAATAGGAGGGAGAGCTGTATGTGCCTTCTAGGCCTCTGGGCTACAGCAGCTCTTAAGTGTTGACCTGGGTAAAGGGGGAGGGGGAGTTTTAATTGAGGTATAAAGCAGCTGAACACTAATCAGCACGGCATTGTATTCTGCGCACAATGACCCTTTTAAAGAGGGAAAACTGGGATATTGTGTTGGTGTGAAGACACCACCTTGTGGCCAGATATTGTTATTGCACAGTCCTCCAAAAGTGGCGGACTGGGTAGAGCTCTTAAGTGTTCCTGTGTGAGTAGACTTTGTTGTCACAGAAATTCCTCACACTAATGAGGAAGTTGAACATTGCAATGAAATGTTTGATTATCTTCTGTCCCTTTCTTCTCTTCCTCCTGCCCTGTCTCTCTCTACCCGCTGTCTAGGTGAAGGGGAGAGCAGGAAGCTGTCCAGCTCCGTTCTCAATCAGCCTGTGTCTTCTGGACCCTCCGAGACTGCCCACCCCAAACCTGTCAGGGTGAGACTGGTTAATAAGTACATCAAAAATCAGCAGCATGCAGGAAATCTGCTGGTTCAGAAGATAGTGCTTCTGTCCGATTTACACTGAACCTGTCCCAGGGCTGTATGTGATGCTTACCCTCCCTTTGTCCCATGTGCAACCTTAACCCTACCCCTGTCCCGGGGCTGTATGTGATGTTTACCCCTCCCTCTGTCACCTGTGTAACCCTAACCCTACCTCTGTCCCAGTACTGTATGTGATGATCCACTAACCCTATCCCTGTCCCGGGACTGTATATGACATTCCTCCCTTCCCTCTGTCCCTCTGTGTATTTTTCTATACAACCCTTCTTACAGTTAGTATCTCTTTGACTGTTTCTCCGTTTTGCAACTATCTCTCCATTTCTTCCTGTAATTCCCCTCTCTCTTTTCCTCTCTTTCCTCCCTCTGTCCCCATGATCCCGGACGGTCAGTGCTGACGTGTGAGTATGTCTCCTGCTCGCTGGTTTGCATGAGACTCCCCTTTGCAGCCAGGGCTCATCAGAGTGAAAGTCTGGTGTAAATAGACACCGAATTACTCTCTTTGTTTGCCAGCTGCTGCATATTTTCTTAAGCCACAATTTAACCCAACCGTGGGTCGGTTTCAGGACCTCTTGGCTTAATGAGACACAATAAACTTTTCTCAGAGATGGACATGTCCCTACGAACCAAAATGAAATTCACCGTGACCCAAACAGCTCCCACAGTTGGAAATGCATTCGCTTTTGCATAGTGAAGGTTATAAAAGTGGGTGGCGTGGTGGTGCTGTGGTTAGTACTGCAGTCTCCCTAGGCAGTGTGCGGTGTGGCCTGCCCATCACTGTGTGGCTGACAGTACACGTGCCCTTTCGTGTCCGTCTGCAGAAGTTCCAGCTGCCAGCACGTGAGACGTGTGTGTCCTGCCAGAAAACCGTCTATCCACTGGAGCGCCTCATCGCCAACCAGCAGATCTACCACAACGCCTGCTTTCGCTGCAGCCACTGCAACTCCAAACTGAGGTAAGAACGCCAGGGGGTTGGCAGCCTGACTACGCAGACGCAGGTGAACACTGGGCTGCGCAGACGCAGGTGAACACTGGGCTGCGCAGACGCAGGTGAACACTGGGCTGCGCAGACGCAGGTGAACACTGGGCTGCGCAGCTCGGCGGTTATCTGGAAAATGCAGCAGAATTTATCCTGACAACCAGAAACAGCTGATTCACGATTGATGAAGCCGTCAGATTTTACACTTATAGTGCTCAGAAGTTCTTTTATTTAATACTGTTGTGAAGTTTCTAAGCTTTTTTCCTAATCTGGCATCTTTAGAAGAAAAAATTCTACATATTGGAAAAGAAAGCTTGAATTAACACCAAACACGCCTTATTTTAAAGTATTAGATAAGTAGTCAAGTTTTTAACTACCTGCAAAAAAGTGTGGGTCGTCCTTGACATGAGCCTAGTTTTTAGCCGCTGATCGGACAGTTTTCAACTCAATTAAAGTTTTCCTTGTAAGGCTATCGTCCCAGAATTGGTGCCCGGATCTTTTTCAGATCGTTCTTAAAAATAACCCAGTTTATACTTTTCTGAAATGTTGACTATCCCTCTCTCTCGTCTCCCTCTGCTGGCCAGCCTCAGCACCTTCGCCTCCCTGCACGGGACGGTCTACTGCAAGCCGCACTTCAACCAGCTCTTCAAGGCCAAGGGGAACTACGACGAGGGCTTTGGGCACCGGCCACACAAGGAGCTGTGGGAGGCACGGGCCGACAGCGAGGAGCCGGAGGCGGCCAGCGAAGCCCTTAGGGAAGAGCGGGTACAGCCGCCCCAAGAAACGGCGCCGCCGGACAAGCGAGAGAGCCCCCTAGTGGAGGAGTCGCCCCTCGCCAAGGTCAATATCCTGGCGGCCAGCCTGGAAACCCGGGCCCAGGCCGTAGCAACGCCGGAGAGGCCCACCTCCGAGAAGCCGGCGGAGACCCGGCGACTCAAAATCGCCTGGCCGCCGCCTTCCGATGGGGAGAGGGGTAGCCCCGTGGGCGGGGTCGGGGAAGGAGGGCCGGTGAAGCCCTTCAGGGCCAAGTGGCCCCCAGAGACGGAGTCCGGGGCCCCTCCGGTGCCAAGTCTGGAGCGCAGCGAGATCAGCAGGCTGCGGCGCAGCTCGTCCCTGAAGGAAAGGAGCCGCCCCTTCACTCTGTCCCCCAGCCCCGCCCCCGCGGCGGCGCCCGCCCCCCGGGAACGGCTTCGCCAGCAGGGGGAGCTGGAGAGCCGGGGGACAGGGGAGAAGAAGGAAGAGGCGGGAGAGAGGGAGAGGACGGCGGAGCTGGAGAGCTGTCCCGCCCCAGTGCCGCGCGGCGCTGAACCGGAGAGGAAGGGCACCAGGGAGGAGGAGAGGATGCAGGAGGAGAGGGTGGAGGTGACCGGCCCCGAGCAAGGTGTGGTGAATGGGGATTCTTCCCCAGAGGAAGAGGATGAGGAGGAAGACTCTGTCACAGAAGGAGAAGAGAAACCAGCCACACAGCTCCAAGGACAGAGCGAGGAGGAGGAGGAGGAGGTGGAGGAAGAGGAAGAGAGAAAAGAAGAGGAAAAGGAGGAGCTCCAGCATTTCTCTCCCCTGCCACCCAAGCGTGCCGCCTCTCCGGAGGTTCTGACCCCCGAAGTCAAACACAACCGCTCTTCCCAGGACGTGGGCTTCTGGGAGGGAGAGGAGGATGGCGGGAGGGTGTCTGTGGAGGAGCTGATCAAGAAGAACCGCTACTATGACGATGACGATGAAGAGGAGGAAGAGGAGAGGGAGGACTGACCCACCTGTTTTCAGGAAGCTTAAAAAAATCTAGAAAAAAAAACAGTATGAAACAGTGTCCTAATATCAGTCTTCAGAGTAAAGCCATTATTACTGGCTGCTTTTAATGTTTTAGTTTTCTTTATGCTGTCTCAGAGCCAGAGCGAAGAGGAATGAACAAAGCTGTTTTTTTAGTCACACACACACACACACAATGCTCAAGAGCCTTTTTAATTGTATTTTTTGGGCTTTTTTCGATGGAGTCAACTGAGTTCACGGCAAGCTTTCTGGTGCACAGTGAATGACTTCTAACTTTTGATCTTTTGTTTCCTCCTCCTGTGGTACAATCCTGATCACTATGCCTGGATGGGCTGCCTATGCCCATCATTCCTGACCCCCTTTCCTTATGAACAGAGCGTTGATTTGAGCAAAGAAGCAGAGAAACCATTTGAAACTCATACTGCAGATTATCTGAAAAATCTATGATTGTTTTTCTGTACAGTTCTCTTTTGTATGTTGTACACTGTGATTTTTTTACAGAATCACTATGATTTATGAATGATGCGGTTCTAATACAGGGATAAAACTTGAGCTTCTGAGTGAGGGTGTGGCATGTCACCTTAATATAATACCTGTGAACTGGAAAGCCTCGCATTAACAAAAATGTAGCTCTGAAAAGTTTTTATTACATTTTATTTTTGTTGAAAACTGCTATCCTAATATATGAGGCAAGAATTGGGATGATTTAACAGGTTAAAATACAATGATCCAAAACATACAATCTTTTAATTCTTTTTTAGATTGCAGTTTTTGTTACAGAGAAAGCTTATGCAGTTAAAAAGTGGATTGCTTGTCTCATTTTGTTCCCAGACCAACCAGGTTTAAATAGGACAGCCTATGAAATTATAATGGACTCAGACACGAGCTCTCTGAGTTTCAGCTACAGGTGAGCTGCTCTAAACTAGGTACTTTCAGAGAAATGCTTTATTACCCCCTGTAGACACCCTGCTATTCCAGTAAAGTTTGCAATCTTGAAATATACTGCCCCATCAAAAAAGCATTAGCAGATACCCTTAATTGTGAGTGCCTCCATCTAGTGGTGATCACCTCTTCATTAAGTTGAGGTGTTGGTAACATTACATCTTTACAGATGTCTACAGATGTGTAGCACCACATAACCAACTGCGGAGATGGAAGATGATGGGATCAATCCATTTATTTAGCTTTTCGTATTCTCATTCTGTCTTTTTTGGTGTGTTTGTCTCTACCAACTTCAGCTTGTTAACCCCTGAGGCTGTCTGAATGAATGCATTAGCCAGGTCTGATGTTGCCTTCCGTCATGTTTCAGAGTCATGTGCATGAATAGTTTTACCTCTTGCAAGGCCACTGAAATCCATCTTTTTTTCCTTTATAACAGTACACTAAGAAAAAGACCTGGCAACTTAATACTTTACAGCCTTTGGAAGTCAGGGATATACCACATGCTGGCCGATTCCCACTACTATGGAGGGGATAGGTCACTTCTATTGCACATGCATATTTGTAGGACAGTGCATAATCATGAACAGTTTTACATGTTAGTAATTTTTAAAGTGTAACTGTCACACCAGTTAACATTCATTTCTGAATCTGCTTTATAAATACAGTATGTGCTAGTGTTTTTGTGCACTGGACACTTCAGTTCCAGAGCACTCAAGATACTACACAAGGAAAAAGAAAAAGGAGTCATGGAGGTGGCTTGTGTGCGAATGAGGATGATGAAGGAGTTTGTTTGTAGATTTTGTCATGTTTGTTTTTTTTTGTCTGGAGATGTTTTTTAAAAGTGGGCTCAAAGTTAACTGGAAACGAATCTCATGCACACCAACAAAATTTTCATTTTTATGTGCCGTCTCAAATATTGTAATCTTAAACATTCCAGTTTTCCTGTTATTAAAGTTGTAATTATTATTATTTTTGTCCTCTGTCTTTTTTCCTAATGTGTTTCATTTTCGGGCAAAGCTTAGGAAATGTAAGACGTCTTTGAGCATGTCTGAAGCTAGAGCAGACTCTGCAGGGCAGTGATGCTACTGTAGTGGTGACTTGAATATCCCTGGAAGCTGCTGGAAAGGGTGAAGAGTCTGGTTTTTATTGCACCTGGGGTCTAAACAATCACAGTGATCACTTGCTCATTTGGGCCGATTGGAGTTAAAGATCTTGAAAAACCTGATGGTGGCCCCAGAAGGACCAGGCATAAAATGCTTTTTTTTTTAAATTTTGTTCTCACAGGTTTGTATTAGCTTGGCTGTGACAGGACCAAATCAGATAAGACCTAATTTCCTACAGTGTATCAGTTTGGCCAATCTGTCACAGAACAGGACACTCTGGAATGAGCTCACAGAAGAACAAGAAATTGTAATGTCTGGTTATCAATGGATGTCTTTTATGTACATAAAGAAGGACTGTATTTCTTCGCTCTGGAGAGGAGGGTACTGATAATGAGTATTTAAACTCCTGAAAGGTTATAGTCAATGCAGGGGGCCAGGGTTGGATGTTAGACACACTCCTGAAACCACAAATGGAAACTGAGAAAATGTGTATTTAGGTTTTAAGTTTAAGTTTTAAGTTTGAGGGACTAATGTATCTAGCAAACAGCTTTGATCAGGAGACAAGGCTGGATTTTTTTAATAACAGGACAGTTGAGGGTTTTCTGCCTTTTTCTGCATTCTCTCTTAAAAGTGCAGTGGGTGATCTTCCCTTTTCCCTCCGGCACATATTCAAACATATTCAAAATCCAGGAAAGATTCAAGACTGGTTTTTGATTTTTGGGGGCAGAATAATTGTCCATGGTCTTGCGTTCAAGATCAGTTCCAGTACACAAGTGCTATTAAAGGCTCGGTGTACAAGGTGTATTAATCCAAGACATGAATAACCCAGTTCCCTTTCTTTGATTAAGTTGCATCCACAGGTGTAGACACAACACCTGTGTGCACAACAGTTACTGAGGCTCCACGAAGACTTCACAGCACAACATATTCTCCCGCAGAAATGTGAGATCCTGACGCTAAGAAACAGCTTCACGGGTGGTGCCGATTTCGAAATAAGGCACTGATACGCCGCTGCTTCAGGAACTTGCACATGACGACAAATCTGAATGGCTAAGCAGCTCGTTTGCTGTCCAGAGGCATTGCAGCTTCTTTACCTTTTTATAATGGCAAGTGCAAATGTAGCGCCTTGTCACGAAGGCCCACGCCATTACAGAGAGTTACTTATGAAGGGAGCACTTGGACTGTGCTGCAGTCTGTCCAACATTCAGCGCTGCATAACACAACAGAGAGCAGGGCAGCAGGAGGAATGGGGAAGTCGCCAGTCCACACAAACACTCAAGGCAACAGTCAAACACAGGAGCTGTGCTGCCCCAGCAGCAGCTCTCGTCACTGAAAGGCCAGGTCTGCTTCCCATGTGGATCAGCCACACGCTAACAAAAATCCCCTCTTACCGATTTTGCCAAGAGGAGGTCAAGTCCCGGTGCAAATGCGAAACAAGCAGACCCTCTGCAGTTCTTACAGGAGAAGCCCCAGGAGGGAACGCCTTCTTCCCCTGTTTCTACATCAGGGTGGTTGGTTTAAGTCAGTGGGGGGGTCTAAAGTGGGGGTCCCAGCAGTCCAGGCAGCAGGGAGGCAAGCAGGGCCAGCGCGGAGGGGCAAGGGGCTGGCGCGGAGGAGATGCGAGGTGGGCGCGGGCCGTTGCACAGAGGGGTGTTGCAGCAGCTGATGCACACGGAGCCCACACGGCCAGGCGAGCAGAAGGACTGGTACCCCGCCGACACGATCAGACAGGTGGAGAAGGAAGCGCAGGCTTTGCGGTAGGACACCCCTGCGGGGACAGTGACATCCAGACAAAAGTCAGACCCCCCCCCCCGGCTGGGGACGGAAGTAGATGGTTGTGCGTCTTCATACAGTATGTGAGTTCAAGCAACGAAAACAATCATTTAGAACCACCAAAGCATTTTCATCACCTGCTGGTAGCCATTTGACAGAACAAGTCACGTCAGGAGATGCCCCAAAGAGAAACAAACTTTTGGATGTAGAGCCTTCCTCAAGTGTGACACCTCAAGAGGCTCTACAGCCAAAACATTGTTTCTACTTCTTATTTCTCAGTGTAAACCTTTCCTTGTTCCTTTGCGGTGTTCTGATGCAGCCTCCCCACTTGATCATTTAAAATAGAAAGTGATTGCTTCTGTGCCAAGAGCAAAAAAAGAAACGCAGAGCCCACAGATTACAGTGAGTGCGTTCCTGATCAGCTGTTTTAATCTGATCAGGAGAGTACAGTAAGTGCAGAGCACAGTGCACAGTGATCAGTCAGACACAGCAATGCACAGAGGCAGGTAATCTGTGTTGAAAAGTTGAAAAGACATCTCAAAGATTTTGTCATAGGAGTGGGGGGGAGATAGAATTTGTTCCAAATAGAAGTAAAATTGAAATCGCACTTCAGATGAGTGCAGTATGGATGACCTAAGAGTCATGGCTAACTCTTTCCCCATTACACAGCCTTCTAGAAGTGTTCTGCACCCCTGACAGAAGAGCTGTCGGGTAACCACAGGGGCTACCTGCTACAGTTACAGTTGCCCTTTAGGTCCTCCAGATACTCAGGCCCGTCCTGTGGGCTGAGTAGAGGCTCTTGTTTGAGGAGACCCATCTCCAACAGCGTCACTGCTTATCAAACTGGGATCCTAGGGCCCTCACATCCTGAAGCAGTGTGTGGACTCACCAGTTTAAGTGCCTTGACTAATGTCTTGAGAATAGCCTGCCTTCCAGTATAGCAAACCAGTGCCACCCACTTACCGTTAGTCCCAACCAGTATCTCCTTCTGGCAGGCGTTCTGGATGTTGGCCGTGCAGTTGACGATGAACTGGGGCGCCGAGCAGTCGTTCTCCAGCAGGTACTCCTCACAGTGGTAGCACTGCATCTGCAGGGCCCATCCTGAAGCCCCCAGCGCAGCAGGCCGGTCGGCCACCCAGGGGAAAAAACAAACGCGTTTCACTCTCCGGTTACGTCAGCCAGCGCTTGCTCCTCCAGGGTGTTTACAGGCTCTTCGGCTTTTTGTGCCGAATCAAGATCTTTATTTTCATAGCTGGGTGTCCAGAAGCATTGATTTTTACTCATTTTTATTTTCTTTTTCTCTTTTTATGGCCTCTACAGTTTGTCGCTGTGTGTTTGCATGTGTCCTGCAAAGGACTCTCTTCCTGGGCTTTATAGATATGCCCAGGGTTGCTGTACCAAAAATATGTTTGTTGATGTTTTTTCCCTCTGTAATACGGGAAACCATCACCTTCCTAAAGAGATGCAATTACACCTGAACGTCCGCAGATGGCGCACTCTCTCTATAATTGTTAAAAGTTAAAAGGTTTGTAAGAAAATACTTCTGTGAACGAATGGAGTAGACTTTGCCCCCCACCCCCCACCCCCCTTACGCAGGGAAATTGCAGCTTTGTTTGAAAACAATGAATACGCAGTTAGCATTAAAAACAGTGTGTTCTGAAGAACAGACTGTACTTTTAAACTTACTATTAAACATCTCATTAAACTTATACTTCACTGCTTTCCAGTATTAGCTGAGAAACTTTTTAGTTGGCTCTGTTTGAGATTAAGAAACTTTTATCCACAGTCTTACAGGTCACACAGTCAGCCCTGTCTCCATGCTGAGAAAGATTTATGTCTGGGCTCTTAACATCCTCGTTCTTGCTAAAGTCTCATAAATGCTGGTCATGTCTGGCGCTCGCTGTCTGCCAGGCAGCACTGCCAACCCTGCTGTTTCCACTAATGTTGACAGAATGACCCACGAGGGACAGGGGGCAGGGGGTTCACCAGAGGTCGTGGTACAGAGAGCAGAGTTGTCAACAGTTGCAGGGAGACCTCTTGTAATCAGTTCAGTGACTCAGACACCCTGGTATACATAGATATGGGGAATCAGTGTCCCAGGCTGTACGTGACTCTCCAGACAAGCGTCTGCTCTTTAATCCAGACAGAAGGATAAGACGTGTTGGGCACAAAAACTGTACCTGCCAGTGCCAGGACAGCGACAGAAGCTGTTGCTCAACAATCACCCTGTTGGAAGGCAGATCATTTCAAAGGTTAAGCAATACTGACATTTATGTCAGTGAAAAAAAAAAAAAAGAAATAAATATCATCATCCTGTCATAAATTATTTACATGCTCAGTAATTTCATAATTTTGTATTCAGTTCCTGTGCTACACTATTCTGTTTCTCCTGTTGTTTCCACAGACTGCACTAATTGATAGTTGAGGGAGTGGATTCCGAATAACTTTCTGAAAGCCCATGGTATTCATCAACGATCTCAGATAACTGCAGTCACAGGTTATCTTCTAGATAACTGCAGTCAGTAACATAGCAGTCTTCCTACAGAAATGCACTTTATGAGAAGAGATATGGAGAGTTTTACTGATGACAGAATTTCCCATTTCAAGAGTTACTTCTTTAGCTGCAGCCACTGTTTACTTTGACATGGTAAACAAGAGGAGGCTGGAGGAACCTTTATCTAGGGAGCAAAAGCGCTGTCAGAGGGAGCAATGACATCGTCAAGCCTGCACTTCTGCAGGTCTCCAGTGAGCCCTGAGGGCTGGCGTGACAGCTTGCAGTGTAACAGAATCCAAATGTCACACTTACAGTAGGAGGGCATGTGCTTGCTAAATCTAAGCCATGCTCTATCACATTGCTTTCACCAATGGGGATCCGCAACTAATTCAAACGACAGGTCAGCCAGTGCTTCTGACACCAATCACTTATGTTTCTTGGAGTGACCTTTGAGAATGTGAACTGGACAGGCTGAAGAGGCCATGGGGCATGTTAGCCTGGACCTCTGACCTATTGAATTGGGCAGAGCAGTGGCTTTGTGGCTAAGGATCTGTGCCTGTGGCTGGAAGGTTGCTGGCTCATATCCCGCGGCTGGCAGAGGAATCCTACTCCGTTGGGCCCCTGAGCAAGGCTCTTAACCCCAACTGCTCCAGGGGCGCCGTATAAATGACTGACCCTGTGCTCTGACCCCAAGCTTTTCTCCCTGTCTGTGTGTCTCCTGGAGAGCAAGCTGGGGTATGCGAAAAGACAAATCCCTAATGCAAGAAATTGTATATGGCCAATAAAGTGATTTTATCTTACCTTATGGATTAATTTATACAGTTTACACCCATCACTGTAATTAGATTAGATCACTTTATTAGCCATACAAGTGCTGTAAAATAAATGGCACTATTATCAGAACTGTAAGAATGATTCTTATAGTTATTTTATTTGTACTCAAGTGCATCATGAGTGCCGGGAGCACAACAAGTTAAAAACAACAGAAATTAACACATACAATACTTGAATTACCTCATTGTGTTGCATTACTGTTTTGGGGGTAACTGGCTTTGTATTTTAAGATACTGTGTGCAGTATATTTCTAGTTTATTAACATGACATTTTAAACCATGCACATCATCTATTAGAGGTCTGCAACAGTTTCTTTAGTAATAATTGTTATTGCAGTTTACTGCAATATCACCGTAAGTACTGTAATAATGATTTTCTAAGATCTTATAATCAGTATCCAAATTATGCCACAGTTGAAGACCCGTCTGTTGTTACTCTGTGTTCTTCTGTGAACTATTATATATAAAATAATCTAAATTCTTCTTACTGGTTATTACAGATGTTCATTATGTGAAGCATATTTTGAAAAAGTGAGTTTGCAATTAACAGTAACATATACTATACTGTTAGATTGTTTCCCTATACCTAAATGTAGTTGACTGACCACAGGATATTTTGCAACTCTGGGCTACAGCTCCTATCCTATGAATTTGTAACTACTGTTTTAAATTTTAGAAATAAAGCTGTTTATTTTTAATAAACAATTAGTAAATTTGTGCTTTGCAGTAAGAGAATTCAAAATTCAATTTCTTATTGTCCGGAAACCTAGTTTAGCTGTTAGTTCCCTTCCTGGATTTGATTGACTTTAATTTCTTATAATTATGTTTTGCATCATTGTGGGGTGATCACACAATTACAAAAACACCGTGTCTGTGTTCTCCGTTACAAAGCGGCGGGGATCACAGAAGAGGAACGGTATCTGACCAGTGTAAGATGCCACAGCATTGTCCTAGGAGTGCTTCTGTTGTGAACTTGGTAATACAGTAACACATCTTGAAGGTTATAATACAGTATTTGTCTATCCTTCAACACTGATTAGGAGACTCCATCTCTCTGCTTCATATATTTCTAGTGCGTCTGTCCAAAAGAGAATCGCGGTATCCAGATTCGTTATGAGGATCACAGGGTCTCAACCTGTGCAATATCCTGCGCGTAATAAAATCCCACACAAGTAAAGATTATACAATTAAACACTGGCGTTAATTGCTTAATAACCACAAGCAATAAAAATTCGACCCGATGGAATTTAAAATTGTGTAGATTCATATACAATATACAATAGATATTTAATAGATATACTTATATAATGGATATACTTAATATAATAGACTGATCGTCGATTAATGTAAAATGGGTTAAAAATGTTCATGCAGAAGGTTTACAGTTAAACAGTCAGGTTGCATGATACGGTCTGAACGATCTAACTCACCTGAAGTGAAGACACATCCGCACAGAGTTGTACAAAACAGTAAAAAGCGCATTTTCTCAACAACTCCATTAGCAGGTACTGTCCTGTCCCCCGAAAGACAATATTGAGCATTCATATCATAGTGATTATTATTATTATTATTATTATTATTATTATTATCTTTATGTTCGGCGCGGTTGATAGTGAGACAGGCGCGCTGTCTCGACTTGCTGCGGAGTTGGCCAGGAATTAACTGAAACACAGTCCCTTGGACCTCTTGCGCGTATTAAAGAGGCATGGACGTCATTACAGATTCCCACCTGGAAGCTGAGAATCAGTCGCAAGGTATTGTGCACCATACTTCTGAGCCACACGCTTCCCTGATCCTGACGTTTCGTTATTATTACATCTTTTTGTGCAGATGAGCCACTAGCAAGCCCAGCCCCTAGGTTGCGTCTCTCACACTCGATAATTGTACTGTTTGGTGCGAATGCGACTAATTTAGTCTCATTGCTTATTAAAGCTACAAACAACTATAGACCGTTTTCTAAGACAAAATCATATTTTTGATAATTTCACAGTCTTACCATACCTGACAGAAGAATTTATGTTTTAAAATCACATTTTAATTCTTAAAACATAAAGGTGTCCTAAAAATATCCAATGATGAGAGTTTGGAAGAAAACCACTTTTCTGTTCATTTAAAAAAATACCCAGCGCAGGAGGAGACTGTCAACAGTTTAATCCCTCCTTTTCGGGGTTTAAAACATGTTGATAACAAGTGTCACGAGTACCAGGTTATGACCTAACGTATCTTCAGAATAGCAACATAAACCCGCAGGCTGGTGTTTTTGTAAGTGTTAGCCACTGTCAACCCATGAGAATTTCTACAGTGACACATTAGCCAGGTCTGCTGTTGCATGTCTGGTTGCCACTTAGTGAAAGCAGTGTAGCTAATTTAGCACGATACTGTTTTAGCTCGTTGAAGCTAAGATAAATAGACTATGAAGCCTGCGCGCAACTTTACAGGAAGATGAAGCACCAATTAATAAGTTCCTTTGTGAAGGATCACTGTGGAGCCAATCCGGGGTTTTGTGCTTTTTCATGTGTGTTCACTCAGTTTTCTGAGGGTTGTAGTTCTTGAAGACGTGACAAGATCGTGAATGCTTAGCGGGACCTTTTCCTCGGGTACATTTGAGCCCGATGTGTCTTCTGTTCTTTATTTAAATACGGTACCTTATTTGTGCAGTCAGTGCCACTAGAATTGTAGGTGCGGTTCGGAGTTGCATAAATTCGGGTTGAATTCTTCCCTTCGATTACAGTTCGCACGTTCTGAATTTGTTTGTGCCGTCAGTGACTGTTAATTTCAGAAGATTCGCCGAAAAGCTGTATTTCAATGCACCGCACAGCACTTTTTGTAAATATTGATTTTTTTTTACTGTGAGTAATTCGGTTTGACTGCTTTCAACATCTTTAGCAGGACCACCATCTTTTTTTAATGACCACAGAGAGTCAGGAACTCGGTTTTACGTTTCATCAGAAGAACGGCTACTTTTAACAGTATAGTGTCCCCGTCACTATACTGGGGCATCAGGACCCGCAGTGACCGCAGGGTGAGCGCCCCCTGCTGGCCCCGCTAACACCTCTTCCAGCAGCAGCCTTAGCTTTCCCAGGAGGTATCCCATCATGGCTCACACCTGCTGAGCTTCAGTGGGTTGCCAGTTGTGAGTTATAGGGTGATATGGCTGCTGGCTATATGTTTCAATTAATAATTATTTCCTCCCTTACATGTACAGTCAGTACATGGTTTTCTTTTCAATGTTCATCGGTTTATGCTAGCAATTTAATTCTTATTTTTCCATCTCATTGCAACTGCATAATTGTTGTCTGTACTCCCACTTAATGTCAGTTTTCTTTACTGTAAGCCACCCTGTATAAGGTTGTCTGCTATGAAAATGACAGGACTCGGATTAACTCATAGGTAACCTTGTGAAATCAAGTGCATTTTTAAATGGTCAGCTGTAAAGGACCTTGGAATGACCTTGGAGGAGCAAGTGATTAAATTAATTACCCCAGAAGAGCCCTGCAGTCCCTGGAGTTCTACACCTCTACTTTCACAGTTCCATATGTAAGCAAGCAGAAAGGCTTCCTAAAGAGTGAACTGGCTACAGCTCCAAACAGGTTTATAAACATTTTCATATCCCTTTCCCCACTGGAGTAAATACTGACTTTTTTCATTCCTTGAAACCTGTTGTGGGAGATTTATGCATTATGCGTGTAACAACGGAGGAGAGATATTAGCTGCTTTCAGGAGATAGAAGCTTTAAGACCAGGGCGATTGAAACCAACTCAAGCAGCAAGCCAGCTTGAAAAGCCCCTTGGAGACGTGTGTTTACCTATTTCTAAGTCACCTGAAGACACATATCAGATTTGGAAAAAATGCAGGCCATTTTAAATCTAGTGAGATTGCTGATACTTTAGTATGAAGACCTTTGAGAAAGTGACTAGAGCTACAGTAAGTTTGGCCAGTACTTAGAGATATAACCTTTCATAGTGTAAATAGGACACTCAATATCTATACTTTTAATGGGGGACTTAAGAGGTCAAAGAGGATCGAATGTTGGCAAAATTATTATGCTTTTGAAAAATCTAGTGACAGGAACAAAGCAATTCAGAAGCTTTTTAAATGATTCACCCTTTCTAAAATATGAATGTTGTTAGCATAAATGTCTAACCACATCTGTGACTTAACAGGCTATGTGTAAACCCACCAATCAGCTGCTAAGAGCCAACCAGCAGCCTCAACCAAGATCAGGGCCTGACTCACTGCTTAGCTGCAGATACACATTTGCAATGGGAGGGTTAGTAATTAAGCCACTTAAAGAAACGCTATGTGTCTCTGGTTGCAGCTAATGAACGCCTTTGGAGTTTGCGCTAATTAGGTGCAGTTTCAAAACTGTAATTAAAAGATCAATTCATAGTCAATTAAGCAAGATTTTTGTGGGAGGCATGTACTCATGTCTGATGTAATCACTACTAGGTATTGGCAGATATTAACCCCAAGTATCATTGCCTAAATATACAGCGAGACTAGATTCTCAAGCAGCATGCTGTCTTTTTAGGGGAACACTGAGAGAATTAATTCTGTTTATATTTCCAGCAAAGACATGTAAAGTGTTTAATTCCAGGCAGTTAATTGGTGTATCACAGCCATTACTGGGCCACCTGGTTCCATAAACCTGTGATGCTTAGGAAGGTGTTTTTCTTCACCTTGACTGGACTTCACCAATGACGTTCTGCTAATTACACCTCACTAGAAGGAGAGTTAATTGCTTTTTTTTGTCGAAGTACTGTGACACCTGTTCATTAAAGGCATAAATCTACACTCATAGGAAAATATTTATGTATTAATGTCATGCGCCTTATCTCATCGATTGCTAGAGACTGCCATCTTACACAGCTGGACTCCGGAGCACTTGTTTGTGTATGAAACACAAACCATAGGATACTATTGATTCTCGAGTATTTTCAGTACTTTAGAAGAATTTGTAATCCTTGAATCAGGTTTCCATGTAATGTGTTCAAGATCAAAAACACTCAAGACATTTTTTTGAATTACTCAGTTTAAAACACGTATTTGAGCCTGGCAGTGCATCAGATAGCTGTTTTGTGGACTAAAAGCAATTGTAGGTGAGTTCATACTAGTTACAGTACTTACAGTATATTATGCACTGAAGTCTATAGTGCACATTATGACTAAATATAGCACACCAGTTGTATATAATTACGATAAAAGAGTTTTAAAACAATCAAATAAAACTCATAAGGTCAACAGTGCTTTCTTGCTTTACTCCAGGTGAAACACAACATTTTAGCTGTAAAGCCTTCTCCAGAAGGCTGTTTTTCAGCATGGAATTAACCTCTCAGTGTGTACATTAGCCAATCAAACCTATTTTATGGCACCATGTTTCAGATTCAGGAAAATTATGTTTGTTTTGTTTCCAAAGATGTCCATCAAAAGTTTTAGGACTGAGTAACAGGCAACCAGAGGGATATCTGTGTGTATGTATGTAACAACATCCATGATGTTTAATTCTTATTTTAAAAATATTTTATATCTTTTCTTAGTGAAAGATTCTTTGAGTTATTAAATTATCACACCAAATTAATATGAATTTCACCCTGCAATAAAGAAGCAGGCGGTGATTCAGAAAGGTGTTTCGGAATCCTAGCAGATGACTTGGAGCCAGTTGCTAAGCAACAGAGCCTCTCTGTCTCTCTCTGACAGGTTGCGCTGTGAGTTACAGGCCTCTCTCAGAGGAGTTCATTTCAGTTCACAGACTGCAGTAACACCTAGGCCTACTCTGCCTCTGACACTCAAGGATAAATAAATTATTTTAGCTTTTCTAAGTGGCTGATTTATTGAGTTTAATCAACACTAAAATGAAATCATTTCCCTTTCCATCCTGATTAAAATAATATTTTTCTGTATACCTTGCCTTCTGCCCACTCTGTCAGAAGCAGACTCCTGGGAGGCTGGTCCTCTTCACACTGGTGATTGGCAGAGTGTGATTACAGTGGACTGTAAGAAACAGGGCGATAGACAGTGACAACTAGAAAGTCAGGTTAAATTAACAGTGAGAATATGACTTCCAGAAGGGAAATGAAATAAGACTGAAATAGTACTATAGAATTACTATAGTATTCCTATAGTATAGTATTTTGCAGTGAAAGTATACATTACCATGTACAGGTAATGTATACAAAGTATACATTACCTGCAGTAATAAAGACTCTTCATAAGAAAGAGTCTCTTGTCATAAGAAAGTTAGAAACAAGAGGGGGCCATTCAGAACATCTAGTGCGCTTTGTTCTTACTGTAGCTAAGTGGTTCAAGCATCTCATCCTGCCATTTCTTGAAAGATGCCAGGAGAATCGGCTGCATCATCATGGCTTGTTCCACACTCCTACCACCCTTTGTGTTTAAACCTCCTCCTGTTCTCAACTGGGCACTGCAGGGAATTGCACTTCAATTTTTTGTCATTTGGTTTACTGTAATATTGAACTGAACCTACAGAAATAGCCTTGAGTTCAGACTCTTGAATGGGATAAAGTTGTAGTCTTCGCTTAAATATTTAAAAAGTTGTTTTTTTTACCCTATTGATGTAGGACATTCTTTAGAGTATCTGGTTGCTCCGACTGAATCTCCGACTGATTCCAAAGCAGTCATGTCTTTTATATCATGGTGACCAGAATTGTATGCAATATTGTCAATGAGCTCTTG